ATCAAATGGATTTTACCAGTTTTAACAATCTCTTCACCATTGGTTACTTCTCGAATGGTAACAACAATAGTAAAAATGGTATGAGAACGTGAGCTGTGACGGTTTATGTTAGTGGAACCGATATGACGATAATTAGCTCCAATCATCAACATTTCAAATAGTTCGTTGCAATCTTTCACCGGCACTTCAGACACGCCCTTGATGCATGTGGCCCCCTTATTGTCCGGGTCATCGTAGATTCTAAATAAAAAATGGTCTTACTCGAAACCACAAGTGTGTTTTTACCTCAAACAAGGGCTGTCGGAGAATAAAAGGTCGCGGATTTCTTCATTGTATATCTCAACATAGGAAACATTTACGTTGTATTCAACCCCAAGTTGCGATAGTTTATTAAAAATATCAGTCGCCGCCCTTGGTACCATTCCCACCGAAGAGTCCTAAAATGATCATGACAATAATAGCCCCATTGAGTTGCCCATATTTACGTTAATAAAATCAACGGACGGATTGACTGTGTCCCCAACCATGGTGTAAGTTTTGCCCGTTCCAGTCGGTCCGTACGCAAAAACAGTGCAAGTGCACCCTAAGAGCATCGAGTCGACCAAGGGGCGCACAACAACGTCATAAACCTCGGCTTGTGACGCTCCACACCCGAAAACTTTATCGAAAGTATAGTTTTTTTCACTTGCCCCATGCTTAAGCCAGAGTTCGGTTTGACTTGAAAATTTAATAATGGGAGTTTCCTTGGCACGAATTTCACTTTTTAAGTAGGGTCTGTAATGTCGCATTCAATTAATTGAGATGTTTTATTAAAGAAAAAAAATTTGTTTACTTTAACTACTTCTAGAATTTCAACCTAAAACTTCCGCCAAACCTTTCCTCTTAATGCCTCAATGACAGCACACTATGAATTTTCTTGTGCAAATTGAAAATAACAATAAAAAACCAAATTTTATTTTCACTCACTTTTGATAAGTGACATCATGGCGGACGTTGAATTTAAAAACTCCATAAAAACGCCTATCTCATTGGTTAATCGAGGGGTATTCTTCTCTTTTCATTCGCTGGGGCGCTCTGCACCCCGTGTTTAGTTTGTAGTTATTTTTTTGTTTATACACTGACCGGTATAATTATCGCATCACTTAAATTTTAAGATTCAATGGCTAAAGGGTTCTGAAAATAGTAAAAAAATAGTATAATTGATGATATAGAATTATCGAGTAACTCAATCGACTATGGATTTTTCAAAAAAAAATTGGTGTGGATCAAAATCACCACTAATTTCGTAGAGACAATAATAAAAAAGTGCGCTTCTTTCCAGGCTCGAGGAGGCAATACTAGGAATGTAAGAAAAGCTTATCTAAGCTAAAGAACTGATCCGCACGAAATTCGCTTTTTTGTTTCTTTTGACAATCATTAAATTGTAGTTTAATTTAATTAGCTAATCAATTAATTTTGATTCATTTATTTTTTTAAGCATTATTTCAATAAAAAATCACTTTTCTAATGTGACGCGATAATTTTGCCGGTGACTTTTTACAGCAAAAAAAAAGTCAATGTCATTACAGGTAATTATTTCGAAAACGGAGCATTTGCACAAACTTTCAAGATCATATCATCAATCTAGAAGCTTCTTAAAGCAAAATGCAAAAAGAAAAAATCCAAAATTCCAGATGTAGCTAAAGTAAAAATTTACCAAAAATAAAACTCACCTTTGTCTAACATAGACCTGGATGTGAAATAACGGATTATTGCCTTCAGCCATTGTGTATAGTAGACAAGGGTGCAGTTATTACCACTTTTTCAGGTTTTGTTTTAAAAATTAAATCACAAACACTATCAAACACTTTCAAAAACTAAATGACCGTTACAAAGTCAAATTGCAAAAGGAATGCCAATCCGCAGTCACGAAATACAGTAAAAAATCACCCCCACTCGGGGTTGTCGGAATTTATTTTTGTCAATAAAACTTTAATAAAATAAAATACAAAATTTTTAAGTGTTGTCAAGCACATCTAAATTAAAATTTCATAATTGTGCAAAAATGATAGTTAAAACAGCCATAAAACATAATTGTAATACTGGTTGCCTATAATTAAAGTGTAATATAGTATTAATTTTTTGTTAGTTTGTCTGTATTTTGATTTAAACCATAAAAATCCTTGTCCGTGGTAGCAACCAAACCAGTGGTGGAGGACAAGAGGGATGAAAGGGTTCAGTGAAAATCGTTGTACTCCTAATTTATTTTATTTACTTAGTATACACAATTATCTTACAGAATATTACATAAGAACTTAAAGAACGAAAATGCAAGTCTAGTATACTTCGAAAAAACAAAATAACGAGAAATTAAAAAAAACATGTATTAATAGGTAGAATAGACAGTTTTGCGGCGACATTTGATGATGGTCAGAAAAAGAACGATGATTAAATAGTGTGAAGAAAATAGATTTATCACAAGGCACAACGTGTGTGAAAAAATACATTGTTGGAAAATACAAACCGATATGATTAGAAAATAATTTGTGTATTTGAATTGAGCGTAAAATTAAAGTATCACAAGTATTAATAAATACAATACTGCTTTTACAGCAAATTATCTAAGTAAGTATGCATGAAAAGAATGTTTTTGCGTAGTGATAAATATTTTCTCCTTGTGGCATTGAAATAAATGCATGAGTCAGTTTGATCAATGCTAAAGACAACATACAAAACACGGCAAAGATAGCACATAAATAATTTCAAGAAAAGCTTTGTGTATACAGAAAGAGGAACATACATACATTTTTACGAACATTAACCCTAAAAACGTTTTTGTGTTGAACTGCATTTAGGTAACAGTAGCACTTAACTAATTACCCAAAAAATCTATGGTTGTAATCACAATCAATGCTGATCATTCATCCAATCCAATTTCTGACACAAAAATATATTTAATTTGTTGTTATCAGCCTTTTTTACATTTATGACTACAACCAATAGTCAGTACTTTATATTTGAGTATAAAAGTGCTTTAAAAAAGTAATACAAAATACTTATTAATTAAATTCAGTACAAAGTTATCATTTAATTGTAAAATTAGTATGTAGCGTTATTTTATTATTTTCTGCGAGTAATTTAAACTTTTACACCCATTATAAGAGCGAGAGGAAAATGAAAATGGAAATAATTATTTACAAAAGAAATAAATACAGCCAGTTAAATTGTGCACAATTTTATATAAACACTAACACCACTAAATTAATGCAAACATACAAAAAACACTACTCAATTAGCCAACTCTGCGCTTCTGATAATAGGTATAGAATTCAATCTAGGTACAGAAATGATAAGAAATCAAGTTTGATTTGAGATAAGCTATTTTACAGAGGTTTGAAAACGAAACTAAAGTATTTGTGTAGGGCAGGGGTTTTTAATCGCGGCACTCAAACACTTGACTAGTATTCCATTTGAAAAAAAAATTCAAAGCAATTAAACTACGAGTGCCCAAAATGCAAAAAGTACGTTAAAAACGCCTGCCCTGGATGGGTAAATGGGTGCATTCTGGTTGTGACTGGCAGCACAGCCGATGACTAGGGCACACACTTGGATCATGGGTTCACACCTAATCGCAGCTGATATACACATCAGTACGTATGGGTTGGAATGGACGGGCAGGCTGCATAGCCTGAGCCTGTACCTTCTTTCATGCGTCAGTCTCACCTCCTTTTAACCGAAGCCGAGCAAAATCTTCGAAAATAATGTCGTCGTCGTGATCTTGCAAATTATTTTCATCCCTAAATCAACGAAATTAATCATCAGAAATTACCACATCACACAATTGACACATACGCATCCAACTGAATCAAATTGGCGTCGACGGGGACATCAGCCCCCACATCTTTACTAGAACGACGCGAAACAGAAGTTGGAGGGGGTGTTTCTTCCTCGGGTTTGGGGTGCATTAAAATAAATGGAAGTTCGGCTACTAGATCCCTTAAACATGAATTTTTCCCCCAAGTGTAATTTTTATTTTCCTCGACTTACCCTCCCAGAGCTCCTAAACATAATTTTACTTTAACTTTATATTGGACAATAATCCCCAAATTTTCTCTTTGAGACGGATCAGCAACTCTGTAATTGTCTATTGTAAAAATTTGACCAAAGACTTGAAATTAACTCATGCAATTTTACATGAACATGCACGTGGGGTGAGATTCTGGCGATGAAATAAGGATAAGATAGCCAATTAATAAAATTTCGTTTGTCTAATTGTAGAGAAAAAATTAATTGAAAAGGGAGCAAACTAAATGTATTTATGTAAAATGAGTTTACTTAAGGGTTTTTTTTTTCCATTATGCACCAACAAATGCAATCAAATTCTCATAAAACATCGTATTATCACAGTTGAGTTAATTCCGTGTAATTATTACGTGATAATAGAATGTTTTTTGTGTAAACAGTAAAAATGAACTTGCCTCTGAAATTGCCATTTCCATATAATGTGCTGAGCTTCTAAACTAACAAAGTAAATGCATTTCTCGAATTATCATGCACATTAATTATTACTCAAAAAGAAAACATTTATTTCGTTTATAACGTTTCTAAAAAAGCCATGTTAACTTGAAAAAAATCCGAACGTAACTCTCTAGAAACGTGTCAAAAATTCCGTCCAGGCATTAAGCATTTTAAAAAAATACATATATATATATATAATTGGCAAAAAGATGGAGGCGAATGTAACAATATTGTTGACTTACAAAGTGCTCGATGCTAAGTTAGTATCCTCGTGCTTTAATTGTCCGTCCAAGGCGAGGCCCCACTTATCCTTATTATTGGCCAGAAGAGGTGTTAGAGTGAACACTTTGCTCAAAGTGAAGCCTGGGCCGATGGGACAGCCTTCTCTACCCAAACCAAATCAAAAAATAAATCAAAAATATGCACACCACACTTTCAAAATCTGCACACTGCAATCCCATCGCCCTTACTTTGTCGGGCAGCATGCAAAAACCAACACCTAGAAAACTGGTTCTTTGGGATATATTTATATGAACCGTTTTTTTATACTACAATACTGCAATCAGTGACTTGGTTTTTTACTGTCAATGGTTAGGGAAGGCGAGCTGCAGATTAACTCACATAGTGGACGAGGCCAAATTCGTGTCCTCGTGCTTTAGTTGGCCGTCTAAGGCCAAACCTCTTTTGTCCTTGTTATTGGCCAAAAGCGGCCTTACTGAGAACACCTTATTCAACGTACATCCCTGCGGGATCGGACAACCTGCACTACACATACAATACCCTCAATATTTCAAACCCTAGCACAATCGACAGCAGATCATCAAACTGGTAGACGCTTAAAATTGACAAATGCCAACTAAGATTAGGTACCAGGAACATGGAAAAAAATGTTAAAAAAGAAGAAACAAACAAGCTGTATCCTGAATTGTAACGTATCTGTGGTTTTTATTGGCAACCATTACTAAATAATTACGAAAAAACATATACAAAATCATCGGTAATAAATAAATAAGTCAAATGTCAAAAAATAAATGTCGAAATTTTTTGACAGAAAGAATTTTTTTCTAATTTGCGTTTATTAACGTCTTTCAGTAGGAGTCGTTTATGGCTATCTATAAAAGCACTCTGTACTTTAATGAATTTAGGGTTATTTAGATTTTGTATGCCGCTTCTGACTTGTCAGGTAACAAATTTTGCGTTGTTGCTTCGTCAATTTCACGAATTTCGGGCGGAGTGCAAACTAAATTCTGTTGGCTCATATTTTATTTATTATTATTATGTTGTAACACTAATAACTAATAATTTGTAAATTTTATTTTTAATGACAGACGGCAGAAATGATTCAAAAAATCAGGTGGGCGCCGAGTGTTACCAACCGATACCAACTAACAGGCGACAAAAATATATTTTTTTTAATTAAAATAAGAAAAAAGGGGGCGCAAATTAGAAAAAATAGCATAAAATACTCGTTTTATAATGGCATTGGCGCACTCGCCTACGGCTCGATTTCTAACTTGGAATTCGTGCGCCAAATCAACCCTTATAAAACTTGTTCTTTAATATACTATTTTTCACTACTAGTAGTTGTAAAAGATACCATTATTTAGTTTGTCGGGAGGTTGTGAAGTTTTTCTCTCCTAGTGGTCAATAATCATTTTTAATAATGGATTAGAGGTGGGTAAATACTGATATTGGAGGATATTCCATTGATACAAATGTTATTTAAAATTTTTACCATCACTAGTATTTGGAGATGAACTTAATGCAAAGTTAAATAAAAAAAACTTGAACTCTCTTATTCAAAAACAGAATAATCCCACCTCTAATCCTTCTGTATTATTCAAAAACAGAATAATCCCACCTCTAATTCTTCTTTTTATACTCGTTTTCATATTAATGTGCATCGAAGTAGTCGTTGAAAAGGATGTCAACTATACGAAAATTCAAACAATCCTAACCTCAATCTTACATAAAAAATATTTTGCTAAATAAATGTAGCAAAAATAATTAAAATTAACATAGGGTGGCAAACTTAAAAAGTTTTGTCAATATTGATGTGATTAAATTTGTTCTGAATAATATTAATGATGCATTTAGACTTCTACGACCTACTTGATGCACACTAAAATGAAAAAATTATGTCAAAACTGTCAAAACAAATGGGTATATTCCATGTTGAAATACTACCGGTAGTAGGGCATTTTATTTTAACACTTTTTCCCTTTTCTTTGCAGTTTCTTTGTTATTTTAAATAATATATCAAATTATGAAGTTTGAAAATCCTTTAATGGATGCAGAAGTACAAAAATGACAACCTCATTTACGATAAGAATCAAAAATACTTCCAACTCAGGTAAGGATTTAATTACTGTAGGTAATAATGAATTAACAAAAATAGTAGTTGTTACGTCTGAAGCAACATGTCCATTAAGTAAGGTTATATTTTTATCGTTATATTTCTGGCTAGTAGTGAAAAAAATGTTATGCTATTTCCACGTTCCTGGTATCTTAGCTTACTTGGCATTTTTCTCTGGGGCGCGAGTTCTGAAACACCTTGTATAAAAACCCATCGATTTGTTTATTTAGTTGTCTTTCACACTGATTCTGGATTTGACTAAATAGTAATAAATGATGAAAATGTATGACAAAACAAACATTTTGTTTGTTTACATCGCCGATTGACAGTTGTCAACAAACACCTACCACTTTGATAAAGGAGTAAAACAGTTCGTTTTTATTGAATAATGTGAGAAAAACCAACTTACTCGCTTTCCGTTTCGGCAACTATACATTTATACTGAGCGGTAGAAAAAAGGCAAATGTCGGCAAATTGCCGAACGGAAACTTTAATTTTCTTAACGGACCGATTGGAATTGTTGGCTATGTGAACATTGACAGCGATATTTTCTCCATGATGGTAAAGTTCCTTGTCTAACGAAGCTTCTAAATGTAATTTATTCGGACTCATCATAAACTCCTTACTAACTTCAACTGACGGCTGTTCTCCCTGCTTGCTTGGTGCATACATTATCTTACGAATAGCCAATCTGCGTTACGTAAAAGCTTTTAAATTAGGGAAAAAGACAGACACGCACACTAACCGAACCGAATTCCTTTTGTGGGGTTTGTCATCTTGTGATTCGCCAACAAACGCTTTAAGTTCATAATCGACACCACACGGTTTGCCCGTATCGCCTGGAGCAGGCTGAAGTGTTACAGATGCGGGACAATGTGGCGGCAATTCGAAATAAAATGGATAAGCGTTTGGTCCCAATTTTTTAATTAAGCGTTCCTGAAAAAACGCAATCAATTTGTGCCGCCCCAATTCGACTGAAACCCCCCACCTGTAGCCTAGTCAACTCTCTTTTGTTTTTACTTTCCGGTGGGTAAATCTGTTCAGCTGCTAAATACAGGTCTTTACGAAACGTTAAACCTAAAACGTCTAAGTCTTCTCGGCCGTACCTGAACGCAGCCAGGACATGGCCAAAAACTTTCCTATCTTTTACATAATCAGGATCGATGAGAACAACACCATCTAAAAAACGACTCAATCGAGGTGAGGAACAAATTCGAATGCACCCACCTATTGGATCCACGTGGTCTATATGATCCACGAAATCCCGTTTCCCTAAATAAACCGTTATCTGAAAAATCGACGATAAAAAATCAAACGATGTAAAAATCAAAAAATCAATGCGTACCTTTCCATTGGGGGAACTTTTCTTAAAAACCCTAAAAGGATGAAAAAAGAGCTTTTTAAAATCGAATTATTCCATTAAAGTGTAATTTTAGTCCCGCAAGCAAAGAAAAGTGGGAAATTATATTTGTGTCTAATCAAATTTCGGTTAAAAACGTACCTTGTGGCTTGTCTCTTACTACTGCCATCGTCCATATCGGGGCTAGAAGGAGCCAACGTGATGCCAGGGTCTGGTTGACAAAGCGAGGGCACGTTGTGCCCCTCCAGTCTGATCTAGAAATAATTTTCAAGTGAATGAATAAATGAATTTCTGACGCAACGTCTTAATTTATAAATCAAAGCAATAACAATTACAATGAATCAACGCGAAAAATCGCTTTTTAAAACTTCCGCTAATTAACCACAGATTGAATAAACAACGTGTCAAAAATAAACCAACTGGAAGAAATCGCCAAAATATTTACAACGAGAAACCTATTGATCTGGTATTTGCACTTATGATTGGGGACTCAAATCTAATTTAAAACTTTTGTGACAAAGTTAAGATCTCATTCATCGCTTTATTGATCTCTATCCGATCCGCCGAATTTTTTTCAACTCAATTGCTATCTGACAGTTGCAATTCTTAAATAAAATCCAATTTCCATTCATACTCTCACAAACACGGAAAAATAATACAAAAGATTCCTCCTTTCATAAATTTGTCAAACTGTATTTTCCGAATACAAAGGAGAAAACAACTGATCGAAAAAGAATTCGCATTTATATCACGGAAACTGTCAGTAACAGCATAATTACATTCGAATTATAAACACATGTCAGCGAGAGAAAATAAAACAGAACTGCAATACTTGATATTGAATTTTATTTGCGACAATTATTCGATTCATTAATTCGGAGACACCTGTTGGTAATATTTGACTCTACCAACCGTGCAACGAAAATTACCCCAAAACCAGTTTTGAAACGGCTATTTCAGTACTCAAACTGATCACACAGACTTTTAAATATGATTAGTGTCCCGTGCTAATTCCATTTGCTAAAAACAAGGAACAAAAGCTGAAAATTTAAATGTAGGGTAGTGCGAGCGTGTTAAACACAAAAGAACATAATAATATCGCGAAATTTAATTAAAAGCCCGGGCTTTTAGGCCGCTGTATTCGAAAATTTCCAGTCACGGTTATCCGGCGCTGATTTTTTATATTCATGCTGTTGACGCAAGCATTAGTATGCAAGGAAATCGACGTTTAAAAACAAGCAGATAAACAAAGGAAGAAAATGATTTGAAACTCGCCATTTCCATAATCGTAACAACAATGACATGAAAATTTACCAGTGATAGACCATATGTCCAACTCGATAAAATCTAATTAGCGTTTGATAAAACTAAAAATGGAAAAATCAGTCGATTCGTCGCCGGTGCCACTTGACCGATGATTGATTCAAATGCTAAGGAAACACAAATAAATTCGAATTTATTCAAATAGACGCACCTAGCAACTAGTCTAAACTCCACATAAAATGGATTTTCGAGCTTAAAACGCAATACACCAGACAATACGGACAAAAATAGCAACAAAATATCTGAATCATCATTACATTCAAATGCACCCTTTTGACTAATCAACAGAAAATCAACTCGGATGTATTACCACTTAAATAAATAAATGTGACGTCTTGAAAACCACACCGCAAACGATAACAACGACAAAAACGCTAGAAAAACCCCATTGCGGGCCCTGCTACCTACAACATCGGATGTAATGCTAAATCAATAATATTTATATTTATCTCTACGATAAAATTTTATTTTTAAATATTTATGCGACCGTGTAATCGTAGAAAAAATACTGTATACAACGGGGCCTCAACAATTACTTGAAAGGTTTCGCGCCCCAGAGAAAAATACCAGGTAAATGTTAAAAAATTTCGAATTATGAGAGTTTAAATTTTGCACTATTTATTTCTGTTAAAAAAATAATTTTCCAAGCTAGTTTACTAAATAAAAACATATACAAAATGGTTATAAATGATTTTCATCTAGCCAGCTGTGAATTTTCCATGTAAAATAAAAATGCCGCTTTAAGAAAATAGGGGTACCTACTTGTTTTAACTCAAAATTAAAAAATCGCCTTCAATTATAAACTTGTTTTCTTCCAAAGTATACATTACTATCAATTATTATTGGAAATGGGTTGAAACAATCAAAGTTTAATTAACAACAATTTATTATTAATTAATAAGTGACACTAATGACAGAACTAAAGCTTTGAAAAAAGTAGAGCGGCACAAATAAAGTTACATGAAAAAAAATTCCAAAGTTGGCTAGATGAAAATCGTTTATAAATAGGTATAAAAATGTCAAATGTCAAAATTTTTTGACAGATTTTTTCCATGTTCCTGGTATCTTATCTTACTTGAAATGTTTTGTGGCACACCCTGTGTATATGATCGGGAAGTGATGTTTCCCTCGTGCTGATTTCGTTGATGAACCGGTGTAACGAGCAATCAAAGAGCCGCTATTACATCACGTGTTGGTGTAACGAGGTGATCAGTTCGTTTATAGGGCCAATCGGGTGCAAGTTTGAACAATATTTTCTGATCAATTAGCCTGATGTTTGATTAAAAAGCCGAAAACCACACAACTCACCTGTTTGTCAATTTGATTGTGGCCCATCCGAGCATTGTACAAGTTTGCAAACCAGGCGAAAAAATGACTTCTGTGCATTTTACCCGAAATTAAAAAAAATCATAATGACGGACCTGAAACGACAGTCTGAATTAAGTTCAGTTAGTTGCAAACCAAATGTTAATTGCCGTGAAACTTTCGCTTTGATGAAGTTTTCGATTGATTTTGATGAAAATTTAAGATCGGACTGATTAGAATTGAATTAATGGCCTTTGGGGAGATAACCGAGTTGTGGGTTTGGGGCTTTTTAACTTAATGTCCTTTGGTCAGAGATAATTCTCGTTTCTCGGCTCTTCACTTTCATAATTTATAAATCAATTTCAAGCTAAACACCGACTTGATGAAAAGATAGCTGAAATTAATTTCGGAAGTTTAAAACAAAACGGAACTTGAGACTTGTTTGTTTGAGATGTCAAAGAGGGAAATATGATTCACCCAGTAATTACAGGAGACTTTTCTGGGTGAATTCAGATGATTCAGAACTTTGAGGTGGGTTTTGGAGCGGTATCTGTATAACATTATCTTTATTTGACTATTAAACACACACAAGGGCCAATCAAAATGGGGTCTTCACATCTTTATGAGGCTTAATTGACTACAATGCGTCATAAAAACTGCTGTGATTTCAGAAATACGTGAATAGTTTTTATCAATCCGCTCCAGAGAATGCCTTCCAGTCCTGAATCAATTTCCTCGTCCGTCCTGGTCTAATTAAAAGGGGTCTGTTTACGAACGGCTCATTAATTTAATAGCACATAAATCCAAAAGCAAATCTCGAAACTCTGCGGGCAAAATTTTACAGGTTATTAAAATTCTTCACACTCGTTACAAACCAACAAAAATAACCCAACGACCTTCAAACTCAAAAACAAATTCCGAAAAACTCATTTTCACTTACGTGTACACTATTTTCCTGGAAGTGCCTAAAATTCAACTGTAGACGTTTAATGCACACCAACAAAACTACACTACCCCAGGAGGTGCTCCAAAACGTGTGATTTTCAATACTTCAAGACCAACCGGTGAATATCCACAAAACTCACGATTTCACTACCCCAAACAATTCGATGTTGTGCCCATTAGAACACCTTGGGCCTTGTCCAACTTCCCAACTGTGAAACTGGGGAGTGGAGTAGGGATATAAAGTAACTGAAGCGCATGCTGATTCAGGACTACCAACCAACCATGATGGTAAAACACACCCACAAAAACACAATTTAAAGCCGCCGTGCCCAAAACAAACTCAAAATAAACACAAAAAAAATCAAAAAATTAAATCCATGACTGGGAAAAAGTAGCTTGGTTTTGAATTCGTAGCCAACTTAATGACACTTCTAGGGGAATTTAATCAAATCATGACGCGCGCTTCACCCAAAATTTGAATTTTAAAGTTGTTTTAAATAAATTTAATCTTGTTGAGAAATAATTTGTATCAATGGAAGGGTTAGGTGTGATAAATGGGGGCTTTACAATGGTATTGTGAATATGTTGATTGTGATTTTAATTTTTTTGGTCACTCCCAATTGTGACATGCGCAGTGGTGAGTTGCTACGAGTCGCTACCGTGGCGTATTCTGTCATTGGTGTAGTCGGTACAGTTCGTTTTCCTGTGATATTTTACTGTGAAATTCGCAATTTGCAGGGTTTTTAAAAGAATCGTTAAGTTTTTAACAAAAAATGTCGACGTCAGGTGACTTTGGTAATCCCTTGCGAAAATTTAAATTAGTTTTCTTAGGAGAACAAAGTGGTAAGTGTTGACGTTTCTTGATGAGTTGTAAACTTTCCTAGTAGACTTGATCAATAAATGTCATATTTCACAATATTCAGCTTATTTGTTTTATAATTAATCGATTGACAAACTCTAAACGAGGGCTTCGTTTTTCATATCGATTTTCCCGACTTGACCACTCGTCATCCTACATGACAGATCATTTCTAGGTTATGTTTTGATAATAGTGATAACTTATATCAGCATTCATCATCACTATGAATCACATTTTTCACCCAAACTTTTTTTTCAGTTGGTAAAACATCCCTAATTACGAGGTTTATGTATGACAGCTTTGATAACACCTACCAGGTAAGTCCCACAAGCTCTGTTATCACATCAATTCCGATTTCCATCTAATTGGACCAAAAATTTAATATCAAGCTCGTAAATTTCACAAAATAATTAGACTCGCTACCCTACCTTACTAACGAAACGGTTTTAATTTACCATAGCTCAAATTACAATTTAAATAAGTAAATTGATCGCTTTAAAACTTTAAATCGATACAGTAGGCCGTGTGAACTAACTCCTCCCATTCAATTACAAAACCAATCAAAATCAAAAATTGTCTCAAAGCGATTTTCAATTGTTTGTCACAGCAAGCCGTGACTAGTTTTAACAAAAATGGATCGATTCTACCTACATGTTACACCTACTGGAATTTGATAAGTTTACGCGGTTTTATAGATTCAAGGTGAAGGTGTTTTTTTATCCTTTACTCAAAATCTTAGTTGGTAACCTTGTTACACTAATGGGTACTTTGTAGGCGACTATAGGAATTGACTTCTTATCAAAGACAATGTACTTGGAGGACAGGACTGTGAGGTTGCAATTGTGGGATACAGCCGGACAGGAGCGCTTTAGATCATTAATACCTTCCTACATTCGTGATTCAACCGTTGCTGTCGTAGTCTATGACATAACAAGTTTGTATCATTTCGGGGGGAGTACCGGCGGTAATGAACTTTTTCTAGATGCCAATTCGTTTCATCAAACATCTAAATGGATCGATGATGTGAGAACGGAGAGAGGCAGCGATGTGATTATAATGCTTGTGGGCAATAAAACAGATCTTTCTGATAAAAGACAAGTTAGCACGGAAGAAGGCGAACGAAAAGCGAAAGAACTAAATGTCATGTTTATTGAAACTAGTGCGAAAGCTGGATATAATGTTAAACAGGTAATTGGGGTTGTTTTGTGTTATTTTTGCTAAAATTCGTTTCAGTTGTTTAGACGTGTCGCCGCTGCGTTGCCTGGGATGGACTCAACAGAAAACAAACCACCAGAAGACAGTATCCTTTTAACAATGCATGTGCATGATTTTTATTTTGCACTTTTATTTTCCTTAATGTTTTTTCTTAGTGCAAGAAGTTGTGTTAAAAGACACACCAAACGAAGTTAAAGATCCAGACGGAGGCTGTGCATGCTAAATCAACTTTTTTACTTTGTGTAGACCCTACAAATATAAATCGTGACAAATTCGAGAATTTCCACAAAACTTTGTAAATATTAACAGCTCAGTTGAGTTCGAGAATTTGTCATCTGTGTTAACTGTCATCTTAATAAAAGTATTGCCTTAATTATTTAGGAACTATCGTAATATATTATTTATGTGTAAACTACATATTTAGATATTCTTTCGTTATAAACAAGTTTTATATTATCGAATCAGTTTTTAACTTAGTTGATTTAACACATTTAGAAAAAAAATCAATCAAAAAGGACGCCGTTTATTTGAACTAAATTATCGGAGAATTCAATAAAAACATATCACTTAATAGTTTAAGCCATTTGATAATCGGTTCAAATAAATGTTGACTGTGACCGTGCCTGAATCACACCAACTCACCACTTTATGTAAGTTTCAACCTGCAATATGATATCGTCGATATTATGTAAGCTCAATTTGTGATGATGAAATTTAGGTGTTAGCACATTCCTTTTTTTGCTGATAAAAAAAAAACATTTTTAGTGTCATAACGCACAATGAGATTGGCCCAGCTTTAAACATTATCTTGGGACAGCTTGCATGTTTAGTATGCTGATTGCTAATTAGTTCCTTCTGTACATATTTGCCCAGCAATATTGGATGTTTATACTATTTTTAATATAACAAGATACTAAAATGATGTATTATTTTACTTGCAAGCTTTGGTACAAAGTGGTGCGATTAATTTTAGGTTTATTGTAGTAATTTATTGACATTGTTAGCATTTAATAAAGTTTTTCGTAATGATTTGTGCATGTTGCAAGTTTGGGGAGGTTTTCCTTAACAAGGGCGCAGCGGTGGACTTACAAACACAACCTCAGCTTCAAAACGACCAACATGACTCAGAAGGGGGCTGCATGTGCTGAAAACCTAGAATTAATTGTTCGAATTTAGTTTAAACTAACAACCAAAGTAGCCTCTGCCTATGTTGACGTTGAAAAGCTATAAGTGTGACATTTATTTGCGATTGGCACTTTATGTGTGGCATGAAACATCCACTGTTACAATTAATTGCATTTTCATGTAACGAGACTTAAACTGTGTATGAGGTGACCTGTAATTTTTCTATTAAAATCATTTTGCTTATTCATTTGTTGTCGATTTTTAAGCTCAACTCGTGTTATTATATATGGAAATGTAAAATCAAATTATAGCTTCGGCATTGATGATGTATCATTGCACCTAATATTACAATAATTACAAAAGTCTGATGTACATAAACCCTCATTTTCGGGATGCTATTGCAAATTCCACAGCTAACATTCTGTTTGTTACGTTGTTATGTACTATTCAGTTTTTATCAAAAAATAAAGTACATTTTAAAAACGGACTGTTCTTAAATAACCCCAATAAAACACAAAAATACCAACAAAAATTTTATTATCGTCATTATTACAAACTAATAAAGTCGGTTTCCTATCAAAGTAGATAACTTTTGAAGGTGGGTTGCCGCGTCTTGTTCAAAACAGAATTGAGTTGTGCCAAATGATTCAAAAACCCGGGATTGGGGTACACCCGCCTCTTTTTAAACACAAAATCCAGCGCTTCAGCCGCATTCATACCTTTGTAAATCATGAGATATGCAATAACAAAGGTCGCAGATCTCGATATCCCGACCACACAATGCACTAATACTTTTCCTAGAATCGCAGTAAAAATAATTAATTCAATTGATTAATTAACCTACCGCCGCTCTTAACAGCCTGATCGATGAATCGCGCTGCTATATCAAAATAAACAGAGATATTCCAAGAAGGCCTATCGTGTCCCGGTATTCCCAGATATGTTATTTTCGCATCTTTGTAATAATATTGATTTGTGTTGACTTGGTACTCGTCGATACCTTCCGCCGCGTTCAAAACATGCGTGAAGCCGTTCCGTTGCAAAAACCGCCTGTCTTTGGCCGCATATCTGGAAAAAAGCACAATTTACGGGCTTTCACCCAACACAGGGGATTTACTTGTCGCCCAAATAGAGACCAGTGGTGATAAAATTCACATCATGTGCCTCGGATACTCGCGTTGAGTAATTTGTAGGCACAGTGTAGTTAAGACCGTCTAATAAATCGCTCAAGTAACCCCCGGTTATAACTTCTTCGGTTTTGGGCCGGAGGGTGCCCTAGAAACGTGGTTAATGTCCGTCAAACAACCGAAGACACTGCTTACGTTGTAAACACGTTCACGCCACATTTTTGCTTGTTTCACTAGTTATCGGTTCACGTGTGTGGGTTAAAAATACTAGTTAAATGAAGAGAGTTGGTAAAATTGGAACACACGCAACGGACCACTTCCAAAATAGATTTTTTGATGTTTTGCCAAACATTTACAATGGCTAATACAACGTAACCAGTGAATAACGATGAATACGCATAAAAGGGAACGCAATTAATCACCGACATTGAATTATTTCGCGAAACATACAATGGGAGAAAAAAAAACTACTTAGTTATAATAAAACATTTTATTTCTCAATAAATATGTTCTAGTGTTATGAATAAAAAGAAAGATAACTAAAATAGTTTATTAATATAAACTATATATAATTTATTAATACAATAGTTCATTCTTATAGTCAGACTTTGAATCAGGGAAGTTCTAAGTTAAATGAATTTATTTACAAATTTCCTTGCATCCCTGAAATGATATCCTGCGATCGAAAAAAAATTAGAGTAGGCGCTGATTAAAATCCTTGAGGTGGCAATCCTGATTTTTGACTTCAATGTCAGCGGAAACAAAATTCATTTTGAGTGAAATAATAATGTTATTACAAAAATGCTGTAGAAGACGAAAATGGTGAATGGTCATTTACATTCAAGTTTGTGTGGAAAATTCCCAGCAAAAATTGTTGCCAACTGTAGAATATTAATCGTCGCATACCCTAATTATTTTTTTTCGATCGCGCGGTATTTATTGCCTTATTGCCTACATTATTATAAATTAGTACTTGTACAGAGGTAGTAGTTTGCATTTTAAATTAGGCACACTATGATGTAAGAAATTCAATAAATACTATTGACAATCACTAACATAAAAATATATCAATACTGACTGAAGTGAAATAACAGAAGTAACGTAATATCAATAAAATTAAAAAATAATTTAATAAATACTCATTAACCTTACTTTACAATAATACAGACTAGTCATACGAATTATACACATATCTTATACATATAACGGAGTATTATCAAGTCAAGATTCAAAAAAAAAAAAGAAATATCAACGAAATGAGCCACACAAAATAGGAACTTGAACCTCATTACCATAAAGATCAGTGTGAAGGCATCCGAAATGGTCCCTAATTGAATAAGTCTACACTCGCAAGCCCATCGCTATACCACTAAAGGAGTCTCTTGGTAGTGGTGATAGTGATGGTGTATGTGTTCATGGACGTGGTGATGTTCGTGTCGCTCCACCCCCAAGTTGGGTGTGGAGGGCGTGCTCGTGGTCTTCTCCTTCGTCGAGTGAAAATGGTTCCCTTTGGCCTTCTCCTTCGTGTTCAAATTCGAGGAGAACTCCTGCTCCAGCCAACGCACCACCTGCGCCATGGCCCTCGCCTGGTCCTCCTGCCGGTTCTTGTGTCGGAGATGGTGCGGCGACGACGTGTGCCCCGTCACCACATGGGGGCTCTTTTTCACATCACTAACACTCTTTTTTGGCGTTCTTTTGGTCGGTTTGTGCAGCTTGTTCTCGTCGTTTGTGATCGGATATTGGAGGAAGTCGGTGAGGTCGTTCTTGCGGTGCTTCCGACACTTTTGTTTATTTAACGCGATTTTTTTATTCGACACGCACATTACGGCGTCGATTAGTTTGTCGTATTGGCAGTGGGTTTGGGGGAGTTGAGTTGTGTTTTGAAGGGACGCCAAGTCCACGTAGAAGTGCGTCGGGTCTACGATGTTCGCTAGGTACTGCAGCGGCGACGGGGACACCTTGGGGCTCCGCGGGGACTTCTGGGGCGCCTCCAGCTGACGCGTCTGCGTCCCAACATGGTTGGAATGTTTTCTACAAAAAAAACTACTGTATTTCTCACAAACAATTTTTACACATTTAAATTTTTGGTGACCTTTATTATTGTCAGGTTGGTGGTTCCTAATTTAGTACACACCAACTTGAGATGCTAAATGAAATGGGGATAGTTTTTTTTTTCTTTTGCATTTACAGCAAAATTCAGACTTGGTGTAACACAAACGAACGCAAATGAGTTAAAAAGTGCTACAAGTGCAAAACTAATTTGAAACCTTGTGATAAAACGTATCTACAGTTGAAATTTTGTAACCACACTTTTTAAACTAGCACTTCGACGACTGTGATCAGTGTCACGGAATTTTATTTCTTTTGTTTTATCTATTTTAAAACCAACTTGATCCGGTAGAGGGTCCAATTTCAGTAATTATAATAACATAACCTTACTTCTTTTATAACAAAACCAATGTAATTTTTCCTTTTTTTTTGCAAATAAATTTCTTAAAATGATAGAACAGAAGCTGTGTACTTTTGGTCTTTACCCCACTCTAATATAAAAATCACCAACTTTAACTAACATCTGGTGAAGAAACAAAATGTCAAATGAAAACAATTATTTCTAATGAACCATTGTTTAAAAGTGCAAAGTGGGTTTAAAGGCATTAATTAAGAACCTTTTTTTAATTTTATCTCGCAATAAATATTCGAATTCTTCAACTTTTCAAAACTTACCAACTTAACAAATTTAAATTTACCAGATTTTCAAAATTCAATCATTGTTTTCGTATAATTTGTGTGAAATATTAAGTAATTTGGGGTTTTAAAACTTTTAATTAACCCAAAATAGGAAAAGAATTTTTTGGTTGAATGCTGTATTTAGTACCTGGGCGTTTGAAAACCTAGGTTGTTCTTGTCCATGTTGGCTTGTATGATCTCGAGCAGCTCCTGGCGCTGCAAGGAGCCCGACCTCTTCTTCGGCGTTTTCTTTGAGCAGTTATTTTCGTTGCAGATATTCGCGTCTTTTATAAATAAATTTGGTATAGTGTATCTAGGACTGGTGCTTCTGTGGCATTTCTTTTGATGTTTTTTTGGTTTATGTCGTTCATTATCCGAGCATTCTCCTTCCTCTTCGTCAGTTGTTAAGTTTCCGGATATTCGACTACAAGCGTCTGAGCTGTCATCTGATACGAAAGGATTTTCTTGATCTTCTTCTTCGTGTTTGTTGCAACATTGATGTTTTTTATTTTTCGATTGTCTTCTACCGTGTTTTCTTTTTTCGTTAATACCTTGTCTTATAGTCACGTTTAAGTCTCTTTTATATCGTATACTAGTTTCTTGTGTTTTTTCATTGTTATTGTCTTTTTGGTTGATAATTGTGGCACTTACGTGCTTACGTTGGTCAGGTGATACGGTAAGTTTGACTTTGATTGTTTTGCTACCGTAATGGGGCACTTTAACCGACGATCCTAAAGCTTCGTAAATTGTCGTTACTAAACCGGCAATGTCCTGGAAACAAGTTGAAACAAAATGCTACTTAGTTAAACTTGTGCAGATCCGTTTCAAAACAATGAAATAAAAGAACGTTGTTGGTGTAAATCTTGTAATAATATACATCTCACGGGAATATAAATAAATGACAAGGCAAGGAGTGAGTAGGATGTGATTCTAATAGCATCTAAATGTAATTTCTCTTGTAAACAAAGTAAGTTCAAAGAGAAGTTAGATCAAAGCGTGCCGCGCTACTTATAAATTTTACATTATAGAATGATTTATGTAATTTTTTTGGCAGTTGAAGATTAAAATTCAATTACTTACATCCTTAGTTATTTTCCCGTAGCCATCAAAGTCGTACAAAGTAAAAGAAAATTCCTGTCGCTCCTGTCCTGACTTTTCCCCATCTTCCACCGAAACATCACAGGAAAATTCCTGTTGAAAATTCTGAGATAGAATAAGTTAGTACGAGGCGTTACAGTACCTCAAAATTGAGATGGTGTTGAGGTTGTTTTTTCTCGGGTGTTGGCGTAGGAGTGGTTTCGTCTTGCGATGGCAAAGGTGGTGTTGTTGATCTCAACCTTTCATTACCGTCAACTTCTGACCCTAATCGGCCTAGAAGTTCTTCCGTATCAGACACTTTACCATCACCACACTCGACTGTAATAAAAAAAAAATTCAACTTTAAAGTATGTTGAGGTCTGAAATGAAAGTAAAGAATATAACACAGAGCGGAGGAATGCGCACGGCTCCAGGCATCTGAGGAAAGTTACAATTAAATAACTATTTGGAATTCAGATTAATTACGATGGAGCGGTTTTTGTTCGAATGCGTGACTGTATTTGATGGCGAGATTTGAGTAAATAAATAAAAGTTTTTGTTTATTTTGCAATGATCCTTTTATCGTCACTTAACACATCCAGTTTCACAAGGTTTTGTCAAATAAAACGAAAACTCGAAACAATTTGCAATTAAAAACACTGAGCGGCGGCATGTTCTTTGTAAAGGAGTTATTTCAAGGTATCTTAACTGTAGAAATTCTTTTGCTTTGGCTGTTAAAATAAATGTGACGTCATGACGTTGTTGGTGGTATTTAGGCGGTTGCCTTTTAGCCAAGTCTAGACCACATTAAGACTTTCTTTCACCGTAATTAATTCGGATTACGCTCATCCTCGATTATTACGAAATCAATCGGAAATTTCGAAAGTTTTCGACGGACAAAGGCCCAGGTAATGCAGTTTTATGGCTTCGAAACTGACGAGGTCGGAGAGCATTCATAGCTTCTAGGAACAGCCTGAATTGGGCATGTTCGGAAAAAACTGTGGGAGGTTGGTTGTAACTTAATATTTACCGGCAGTCAAGCAGAAAAAGTCTTTTCCAAACGCATTCCTCCATTTCTACCATTATAATTATGAAATAAACTCCCAATGTTTAAACATTTTCTTTAATGACTAACGGGAATTTATACGTGGCGCCAGTCAACTCTTTCCCGGAACTTGATGTCGGCACCTTTGATTCTAATACTTGGATAAATATTGATTTAAGCACATAACAAAACTACAATACTACACACAGTCGGCCTTAACTTTGATATCCTTATCAAACTATATTAAATATTAATCAACAAAGCGACTAAAGCAAATAAAATAACACTAGATTTATTTAAACACAAGTGAAGTGGACGGGACCTTTTCAATTTTCCCATCTGGATTCTGGATAACTAATGACGAAATTTTTAGTGTCGGTAACAAAATCCGTCACAGATCGTTATCCAAATGGAAAAATAGGTTACGGAATAAACAAAACTATAAAATCCACAAGCGTTAAATTATGTTTCATTAGGTCCTCCACTTAATTGTTGGAAATAAAAATTTCTCTAATGAAGCGTTACACTAATGCAGGAAACTTACGGTAAATGATATTTTTGCAATCTCAACATCCGCTAGTTGCTTTTTCTTCGGAGAAAGTTGATATCTCCCGAATTTATCAAACCGGAAAAAATAGTTCAAGAGCCAGTTTATTTATTAGAAACAATTAAGATATGCTATCTAACCGAAACCAATAAATTTGTGTATAGGTATACGCAACACAGAAAGCCGCTCGATGTTGTGCTCTGATAAAGAGTGATAAAATTCTCTGAAAAAACAACCCCAAAATCATATTCATTTGTGGGAAAAGGAATTTATTCGCACTAAAATTAACAATCCAAAACAAATAAACATATTTTCATTGAGTAAAAGCCATGGAACTAGGTGGCCTGTTTAAATATTCGCAATTTATAAGTCGTTTTATTTTTAGAGAGTTTAAATTGCAAATTGGCGCCAGTAAGTCGAATGACCTGTGGAAAACATTTGCAGTTTTTTGATCGGGATCAAGTAGTTGTGGTGATAATGACAGTTTATTTTATTTCTCCACGTGTAGTGTACCTAACAAGTTATCCGTAAATAATTTCATGCATTCTTTGAGATTAAGTCAGTGAATAGTAAAGCATAACAAATCGTGATTGCCAAAAATGAGAAACATCACAAATCAAGTCAAGATGCAAGAAAATGCCGCCGACAACAACATTGTTGCCAGATCATTCTGTGTGTGACTTCGGCCCATTAATCTCCTCGAAATCAAGCACAAGCCGCGAATTTTCAAAATCTATTCATTAATCGAGAAAACAAACCCATGTGTCAGTCAAGTGCAGGTGGCTTTAAATTTTAAAGGCTTGATCGCCTCACCTGAGAATTGTTTATATCCGTTGAGAAACTTTGTTTTCCACCACTTCACTAAATTGTTAGCCATCTGTGAATTGTGCATCAATAATAGCCAGATGTCCATCACAAGAGTCCTCACATCACAACGCGATATTAGAGAGGCTGCGACGTTGACGTTATGGTCACTACTAGCTCCGTGAAGAGAGTACCGGCTCTATAGTACGTTCTCCAATGAAACATCATTGTAACTCATGCGGTTCAGGCACTAGCCGAGACGGCAGATAAAACTTGGTCGACGTGTACGCAACTAGAGGAGCCAGGTGCAACACCCTACTCTATAGAGATTGGCGCGGCGCAAACAACACCAGTAGCCACACTGAGTGGGGGTAGATCACACGGGGGGCTCACATCGCCAAACTACATTTCACTAAATATTAACAAATATCAAACTAATTACACCCCATCGACGAGCGCAAGCGCAAACATCACTACCCCATCGAATCACGCCAAATTACCCCCAATTACTAGACGAGAAAAAGGAAGACTCCTTTGTTTTGGATATCCAGTTTTATGAGCCATTAAACGTAATGGATTGGAAGACTATATACTCATTTATGAATAATTCAAATTTCATATAAACAAAGACTGATGGGGCTCTTGAAATATGGAAGACTTATTAATATATAACATGATAGTAATGTGGCTGGGCAGATGTGGCTTTCAGCGAATTTCTTTATTGAGGTGGTTTCGCTTTTCAGTTGTAAACTGTCGGCCTCGGCAAAGGAAATCCATGACAGAGATAGTCGGGATTTTGAAGACCGCTTACTGTTCTTTAGGAGGGGCGAGGGAATCAGAGAAACTCAGCCGCCGATGGAGAGGCAAGGGGCGAATCACAAGCGGCGCTCTGTGGCTTTAGAGATCAGCGCGGCACCAATACAGTTTTTCGTTCACTATTTCCGGATAAAAATATCTATAAGAGAGATCACTTAAAATATTACCGTGTGTTGTCAACACAAAACCGAAATGGGTGAAACCCTTTTTCGGGGGTGTCGGGGTGAAGAAATTTACAGCCGACAAATACAATGAACCTGGACAAACAAAATGAGAAGGAAAAAATTAAAGAGGCTTTTGATCTCACCGCCCTGTTATTACAAGTTTCCTTTACCGTTAATTATACATTTTTTGATTACCCACTCGGCCAATGCTAAATAAGAGATCCAAAAACACAAACTTGACTAAATCGTATTATAGGACCGCCAGCGGAATATAAGTGTTGTTTTTTTTTACATAAATTTGCATTTTATTAATATACGTAATAGGGGCTAGTTTTACTTATTTGATTTTTTTTAATATAAACCTAAGAATTCTGAATTCGATTAGATGACTCTGCCCTTAGCTTTTACATCTTGTCTGTAAGATCAAAGAAGCCGCTGGAACGTTGCTTCAGCACTCTGACCGCCAGCTGTGGCGGTAAAACGATTCAACATGGCTGCCGTATGTCAAGTGTACCACAAATATTTTAGGCAATTTTTTGTATTATTTTGACGCCACTTTAATTGATAACTGATAAGAAAATCGTCTTAATTAAACGATTCAGATATAATTACTCGATTTTGATTCATGAATGGCTTTAATTATGTAAGTGGATAGTCTCCATTCATTATCACTATGTTAGGCCAAGGCTTCTTAACTATATATAACTCGATAAACTTTGACAGGTGACGTCACGTTTATCAATAAACCCGGCCTTGTGATTGGTCCAGCGCAGCCTTGGTGCAAATGAAGATCACCGTAACTGGCAACCACAACCACAATAACTATTGTTCGTAGCCTAAAGGCTAGAACATAGCCGCGTTGAGAGTTCTAATTTAGTCTTTTTTCCAAATTGTGTTCTTTTACCGCACAAAAATACGAAATATAAATAAAAATCAAGAGCGTCTATTGTGACATTTATGACAGAACGCATCAAACTTTTTAATTAAAATGCTATTTCTGGCGCCGAGATTCATTCTATTTAAGTATCAGAAATGACGAAATATCGTCGAGAGTCGAATTTTTCTTGAAGGACCACTATTTTAATAGTTGATATCCGCGCTGTATAGTTCGTGCCGAGGCGGTGAGATCAAAGAGGCGGCTTTTCGATTGAAGTCGGACAATTACTAACTGGCCTTGAATTAGAGAATCCCTCACACCTCCCTCGACCGCTGACCGGTCAACGCGCGCTCACTCTACTCCTAACCGCGCTACTCTAACACCAACATATCTAAAAACCCCAATATACATTCTTAATCGAGGTTAAATGACTATTGTCATTCGTATAGTCGGCTAGACATCAGAAAACATGAATTGCCCTCTATTTCTCATAGAAGATCACTTTAATCCCTGTTACTCAAAGTCTGACTCTGGAACCTTAGTGACATCTCTTGAGTGACGTTAACAACTTCCACAGGTCGCCATAACTGTGGCCATAACGAGTTTTAGGCAACTAGTAATACACCTTTATATTAAATTTTTAGATGGCACCACTAAAATGCGTTTATAACTTTTTATTTATTACAATACAATAAACAATTTCCCTTCATGATTAAGAGAAGTTTAAGTTTGAGGGTAATAAGAATCAACTAATTAGCCTTATTGCCGTAGAGCGGCGCTGCATTCTTCCGACATGTCATTTTATTAAAAACCACTTTGCGTTGCGTAGTAGTCCAATGGAAGTATAATTTCTATGAAAACGACTCAAGAACACTAGAATTTCCTTATTTGTGTGCTACGACTCCCATAGGGGAAATGCCCGAACTTTGATAATGAATGTTTGGCGCGTTGCAGTTGGCAGCAATGTTGTTATTTCTCTAGTTGCCACCATTATTATTGTTAATGTTTCGTGATAAAATGTTTGTTTGATTTTTTAATTCCAATAAGTCGATGTAAATTTCTTTGAGTATGTAAATATATAACTTTTTGGAATGTTTCAATTAGTTAAATAGTTAATTAAATTTTGGGTGTGTATGTGACTTATTTCGAGGACGCCGGCATTTGTTGAAGCTGTTAGAAAAGTGAGATATTTCTCTCTGATTTCTTAAAATCCTCAAGCATGAATGTCAATGTAAGTACATTATAAGAGCGATAATAGTGGGTAATTTCCTGATTTTAGGACATTTTCGAGAATATTATTCCTAAATCTAGCATGGAGGTAGAACCACCAGCTGATTCCGAAACTATTGAGCCCTCTGTGACTAGTGATACCCCCAAAGAAGCCCCAGAAGACACATCAACGAGGGAAGATCTAAACCAAGAACTTTTTGACACCATTATGGACACTTCTGACCAAATTCCGATTGAAAAAGACAACACAAATGAAACAATTGAGAGTAGCGATAAAGTAGCCGTAGACCCAACACCACCTCCACTCGATACTCAAATTCCGGTTGAAAAAGAAAACACAAATGAAACAAATGATAAAATAGACTCAACGCCACCTCCAGTCAGTACTCAAACTACAGAGGAAAATAGTAGTATATCTGAAGCTATTGAGACACAGTCTGATAATATAGAGAGTTGTGATAAGTTAGAGGAGCAAGAAATCGGAGAAATGACAGCGGATGTGATTAAAGAAATCGAAAAAATTAATGAAAAAATGGACGTTGATAACCCCGAAGAAAGCAACACTATTGAAGAAGAGCACAAGGATGTTAACACAAGTGAAGAGAGTGAAAAAACGTTAGACAGTTGTATAGAAGAAGAAGAAAAAGACGAATCTCAAGACGCAAAAAGTGAAGATGAAACTGCTGACAAATCCTTAGAAAATGAAGAACAAACAAATACTGTTGAATATATAGCATTCAATGAAGGTGGGATATCAAGAGAACTTGAAGAAATAATGGAAAAAGATGATGAGTCTAACGAAAATGAAGATAAAGGTATGGTACCAAAATCGTGATTATCACAATTAATATTAATTTTAGACAATGAAGAAGGTTCATTTGAAAACACGGAAGTAAATACTGAAATTGAAGATGACGATCAAAGAGAAAAACCCTTATTTGAAAGGGTTAATCTTGATAAAGAAGATAACGATAAAGAAACAAACAATAAGGACGAATTGCTTGAGGAGGATCCTATTGCCTCTGATGGGTTTATTCCAGAAAATCAAGAAGGGGCCGATGAGGAGTTGTGTATAATCCCCGATACTGAACGAGTCATATCACAGGAAGAAAAAGAAGCGGCTTTCTCAATCCCGCCCCTGAGAGACATATCAGAAGCAAGTTCTTCGAACGAAATTACTGAAGATGGGGCCACAACTGTGCCCCCTGTACCACCCACTGATGCCTCTTCCTCCACCAACAAGTTTAAAATATCAAAGTGTAACAATGAGGAGCTCCAGACTTGTCTTCAGTGTGTCTTGGTGAGTAATTTAAACCAAATTTCACACCCTAAACCAGTTTTGTAGAAACGTAAAGTCAAATATACCGTTACTAAAGACGACAACGTACAATACATTTGTCACGACAATTGTTTAGACAATTTTAAAGTTGACCATGCGAATAATTATGTTTTGACGTGGGAGGGCGAAATCCGCGTAAAAGACTTAGCGACTAATAGAGAGACTCCTAAGTTATCCTTCGAGCGCAAATGCGTCGTGTGTAAAAAGAAAACCGACGATGAGGAAAACAATCTAACTTGGGAAATAATGGACTTTTGTAACGAATTTTGTTTATGTAGGTTTGTTTTTTGCGTTGTTTTTGTGTTTACGGTGTTTTTCTGCAGCCAAGTATCAGAAGGAAATCGGTTCGATTTGCGCGAGTTGTAATTCCGAAGTTCGGCCGAATTCTCTCGGGAAATATTGCGTACGTTTCGGCAATGATATAAGACAGTTCTGTTCAAGTCACTGTCTTGAAGAGTACAAGAAAGGCCTCAAAGTTTGCTCATACTGTCAACAAGACATGTCGACCGAATCTGACGGTTTTCTAGCACCTGTTGGCGACAAAGGCCAGTTTAAAGACTTTTGTTCGCAAAAATGTATGGAAAATTACGACATTATGACCAATAATAAGCCACCAAAAGTCGAAGAAGGCACCAAATGTTCGGTTTGTAAAACTGATAATCCAATTACGATCGAATACGAGTCTGATGGAGCGCCGAATTATTTCTGTAGCGATAGATGTTTTGTCGCTTTCAGTTTCGTTAATAATATAGCACCGGGGAAATGTTCAATGTGTCGAAGATACTTCCCTAATGAAGTTTTAGAAAAAAACACTATGTTTTATGATAATGTTCAGTATAGTTTTTGTTCGAATAGTTGTCAAAATATTTACATAATAGCACATCGGAAAATAGTTCCATGTGCGTGGTGTAAAGTCAAAAAATATAATTTTGATATGATTCGGAGATACTTTAAAACAGGGCCTGTACTAAATATGTGTAGTATAAACTGTCTTAGCTTATTCCAAGTGTCAGTAAATGCCGTACATTCGAAAAAGTAAGTACTAAATCAATGTTGATGATTTTCTACACGATGTAATTTTAGAACCATTTGTAATTTTTGTAACAAGCGTCATCAACCAATGTATCACCTTACAATGTCAGATGCCACAATTCGGAACTTTTGTTCATATTCGTGTGTAATGTCGTTCCAAAACAAATTTAAAAAATCACCCATTACACTTACCACTGAAGATATATCATACCCTGTGCCTGCCGGTGAACCTAAAAAAAATAGGAAATTTTCAATCACCGATTCTGGTTCGTACTCAATAAATTAAAAATAGCAATAACTTAGTTTCTTTAACAGCAAAGTCAATCTCGCCACCCTTACCGGTGATAAGTAGTGTCCAAAGTTTGGCCAATAAAAATGGAAACTACACAAGTAACCAAAATAATAAACGAGCAAAAACAAACTCGAACCAACAACACATACTGAACTCAAACGTCGAACCTTCTGTTAAAGTGAAACATCATATTATTATTAAATCATCGCCGACACCTGATCAACGGAATGTTGCTACAATGTGCAAGTTGAGACAGCACCATAAAAGTACAAGTATTAGACCGAACATGACCGATAAGGCAATGCAGACAGGTAATTGTCAAAAAAATTGTGATTTTTGTACAATTTTGTGATTTCAGACCAACGTGAGGCCGAAAAAGTCTTAATCCCGGTCCCCATCCCTGTATATATCCCATCCCCGCTCCCGATGTACTCAGTCCCAGCCCCGTACCCTCTCCCATTCCCACTCCCAATCCCAGTCCCGATTTTCATCCCAACGACTCGAAATTCAGCCAAAGGGATTATGAAAGAAATCAAGGTAAGTCATTTCATTCAATTACACTACTAACTTGTCAATTATAGAAAATCCAAGTCAAAATCCCCACTGATCCTTACGAGGCTGAACTCCTCATGATGGCTGAAATGGTCGCTGGTGATAAAAAAGAAGAAAACACTGACTCAGAAAGTGACGTTGATGAAGCCGGTCCTGCTGATGAGGGCACTTTTAGCCCCGAACCAGTCGATGCTAGTAACACTTTCGGTGACGATATGTTACAAATGGCACTTAAAATGGCAACTGAGCTTGAAGAACCCGCTGTGGACCTTGAGGGGGCCCTCACTGCTAATACCATAACAGCCCCGCAAGGTAGCGAAACCACCACTGAGGAAACTGTTGATGATCCCCAACCGATCATGCAAATGAATGAAAGACAGTCATTCAGGGGGCGTAAAAGGGGCGGTAGAGGCGGAAAAGGGGGTTCAGGCTCGAAACGTCGCAGGTTGTCACAACCTGCTGACCTACCGGTGATACCCCCACAACCAGTAGCGCCACCTGAACCGGCCGAAAAACCCGACGCACATCTTTGCCTTAAAGTGAGTCTTTGGGGGTGTTAATCAATGTTTAATTCCCTATTTTAGTACACGTTTGGGGTTAATGCGTGGAAACAATGGGTGACTACGAAAAACACCGAATTGGAGAAATCGTCAAAGTTTGCGAAACCTTTCAAAACCGAAATTTTGCAATTAACTGCCGATGAATTAAATTACTCGCTTTGTCTTTTTGTTAAAGAAGTGCGGAAACCCAACGGGGCTGAATACGCCCCTGACACGATTTATTACCTGTGTTTAGGTATTCAACAATACTTATTTGAAAATGGACGAATTGATAATATTTTCTGCGACCCTTATTACGAACAATTCACTGATAGTTTGGACGAAGTCGCTCGGAAATTTTCAGTACTCTACAACGACTCTCATTACATTGTTACAAGAGTCGAAGAGGAGCACTTGTGGGAGAGTAAACAACTCGGTGCTCACTCCCCACATGTCCTATTGAGCACTTTGATGTTTTTTAATACGAAACATTTCAATCTTACTGTAGGTCAATCAAAATTGCTGATTTTCGACTAATTTAGTGTTTCACAGAGTGTACAGGAGCACATGCAGTTGTCATTTTCACACATCATGAAACACTGGAAGAGAAATCCGAATCAAGCAGGCGTGGCCCGAGTCCCAGGTTCGCGAAATGTACTTTTACGGTTTTATCCACCCCAAACAGCGATGCGTAAGTCTTTGCCGACTTGATTTTTAACAGGTCATTTTTGCGTTTTAGAGAATAACACGCGGAAGAAAAAGGTCTACGAGCAACAAGAGAACGACGAAAATCCACTACGGTGTCCAGTTAAATTGTACGAATTTTACTTGTCGAAATGGTGAGTTGGTTATTTCCATGATCAGGGAATTATATTTATTCACAATCACTAATGTAATATGCAGATTACTAACCTTTTTAAGGTTGAGAAACATGTCATTATTTCTTAAGAAGAGTAATAAATGTTACTCCTCTTGGGTGGTAATATGCAAGATTGCCAACGTTAAAATTACGAAAATACCGGATTTTTTTTTTTTTTTAATTGTCAAGTTACGCATAATATTTCGCTAAATTAGTATTCAATTGCTTTTGTAGCAGTTTCTCTTAATTCTGGTGGTACATTGCTCCATTTCGACGACTTATTTACACATTATTTCAATATTTTCTTTGACATTTCTGAAATGTCAAAAATCAAACGTCATTTGGATGGCCTACTACGTTTGGACCTTAACTTTGTTAGAATTTTATTTTACTCAAATTTTTGACTGAAAATAATGTGATTGTGAATAAAATAGCATACAAACCTCGGTGGTAATGTACTATTTCACTTCCAGTCCCGAAAGTGTTAAAACTCGCAATGATGTTTTTTATTTACAACCGGAAAGATCTTGTGTACCTGATAGTCCTGTGTGGTATTCAACAACAGCTCTACCGCAAGAAGCACTTGAAAAAATGCTTCACCGGGTTAAGATGGTCAAAGAGATTAATGTCGCACTTTTAACTAGTTAAGCAGTTTCATATTCAGTTTCGCTTATTCATTTGCAGGAGCAGTTTTTATGTAGATTTAACATTAAATAAAATTATTTTCTCTTTGTATTAAAAAATTTCATTTTATTCACCCACTATAAAAACAATTGAGATTGGGGCAAAATATTTAAACAGGATCATTGTTACTCTTTGTTTGTACTGAATCGTAAATTATTTCATCTTTTTCGTTCGGAATGAGGGTTTCAATTTCCGTCTCTGAGGGGCTACTACTAGTTTTCACATCTGAATAAATCTGCAAAAAAAATTAGTCACACATCATTTGATTAAAAAATTACCTTTCCGGCACTATTAGTTGCTTGACGATTCAAATAATTATTGGAAATTCTCATTTGACTAGAACTTTTATGGTGATTAACTTCAATCGCAGATTTGAGTAAATCAACTTTTGAATTACTACTGCCTCTCGGGGCTTTATTAAACATCCCACTCGAGTAGCTTCCTCTTCTTATACTATTACTTCTAGTCCTAATAATAGAACCGGGTTCTCGATGTCTCCCCAAGGAAGACAAAGAACCAATTTGGTTGTACTCAATCACCAGACTTAATCTTTCAAAACTGACCATAGTACTCTGGTCTTTAAATTTCGGTTCATCTTTTAATTCAGGCTCTTCATCTAAAAATTTTGATTATAATTATAAAGAGCGAAAATACGGGAAAAACCACCTTCATCATCATCTTTATCAATGTTTCGTAACCATGAAAAGTGCAATAGGGCATAGGCAAGGCCTGAAATAACAGCAACCAATCCCATTAAGCGAAAGCCTTGACGTATCCCAAATTTTGCAATCACGTGACCCCCCACAAAACTCCCACTACCCCTACCTTCAAACACACTTATTTATTTATAAGAAAAAATGAAATTTAAGTACCAATGCTGAAATGAGCCATGCCTATGACACCAATCAAGGTGGCGAGGAGGCCTTTAGGTGCCAAAATGGCACAATAGGTGGCAGCAGCCACCCACATCATATGCACCGATAACGACTCCAAGGCCTCAAAGGGGAAACACCACCAAGCACTCCTAGAAATTATTACTTGATTATTTAATTCCCCATTATTTGAGACATACTCAATGAGTGAGTAACCGACAAGTCTGGCGGCATGTGCAAAAAATGCCACGATAATAACAGTAATATGCCCCATTTTGTGCGTTATATTATCAGCCCCGTACAAGAAAGGCATACTACTGATAGTCCCAACTGTGACAGTTATCCCCAAAAGGTAATTCGGAGCCCCCAAATCCTTCAAATAAAAGAAGAGATAACTCTCGATAAAGCCCCACAAGTTCCCCAAAATGTACAAAAATATGATAAAGACCACGACATGTGGCATTTGAAATATGTTTTTCAAGTCGCGGAAAATGTTATCAGCGGGCAGTTTCGTTCCCAGGGGCATCAAATACACAGCTAGGGCTGCCACGATGAGTAACACATCGTAAGTGTAGAAGGCTGCGGAATAATCGGTGTAACCTAACCGGTGACTATTCCAGTCGATAAGCGCGCCGGTTATCGGTGAGAACATCGCCATTCCAAGACTTGAAAACAACTTCTCTTTCCCAAAATCGCCCCCGTATTTCTCAATCATGGTCAAGGCAATGGGGTCCATGATGGTCATGCCCGCAGTCTGCATGATACTGGCCACGAACCGGACCGTGAAATAAATCCAGAAGATGCGATCGTTGCTTTTTTCGTACTCAGGGGGGCACACATCAGGCCCTCCTGAGATAAAATGACACTTTTGCAAAATACAGTCAGTGGAGTAGTTCCGGAGACGTTGTTGGGTGCTCATATCATTGGCCGAGGACACGACCCCCCCACATCTCAAATCGTTTTCTTCCAGTTCCGAGACATTGACCCCCGAACGGCGTAAAAGCTTCTCTCTGAAGCGCTTTTTGAAGTCTATAACATTGTCGTCTTCTTCGGCCGATTCCAAATCAATACCCCCCTGTTCTATTGGCTCACCCAGATTTGGGTGCATGTCAAGGGTGAACAATTGAGTCGAATTCTCTCGGAGTGTATCATTTTTCTTTTTTCTCAAATGAAAAAACAAATCGTCGGTGTTGCCAGGATCTACGATGCTTCCGTTTAGTTTCAGGTGGTTTTTCTTGAGTAAACAGTGGTCGACACACATGTCAAGCGCGACGTCGAGTTCTTCGTCTTCGGGACACTCCCGACTGGGGCAAGGGCTCCACCAAACCTCAACATAGCCCTTTTTCGGGTGCGTTATGATGTATCCCGAGGGGATAACGCCCGCAATCTCGTGATGGGGGAGTAAAAGTAGACAGTGATGCAACGCTGCTGTTAGTATAAACGATATTATGACAACGGGTTTGTATTTCCCGAATTTGTCGACTAAAAATCCGGTAACAGGAGGAGCCACGAACGTGGTAAAAGGAAGTGCTAAGTAAATCATTGCGATTTCTTCCATCGTTAGACCAATACTCTGCATGTGGATGGTCAAATATGGGACCAAAGATGACGTTGCTGGAAATATTTGTTATTACATTGTTTTTGTTGGGGTTTTTTACCTCCATAGAGAAAAAACAACGTGACTTTGAGCATTATCAGATTTTTGTTTATCGACCATTTTTTTTTCTTTTTGGGGATGGGCGGTTTTTGGTCCATGGTTGTTGACGTATCTGTACCCATTTTTAAGACTGCACGCGCCAAAGAACACAATTACAACTGGCAGAATAAATTCTTCATTGTTTAAATGTAAGATAATGTCAAGAACATTTCATACTATTTGTTCAATTCACCCACATATCAAATAAAGTTTTACGTGGTTTGCAGCATTTTTTTATTTCTTCGCACTGATTAACAAGAAACGTAATGCAATACATCCTATTATTGAATGAATCACCCTTTAGTTTGATTAATCAATTTTCGGGATTTTAATTAATAAATACTATAGAACGAACGAAAATAGCCACAATTGCGTAAGCTAAAATAAATATCAACTAATTTATGAGTTAACAAATAATACGTATTTTATTTAAACTCTTATTTATCTTTCACCTTGTTGCTTTCCTATTTGGTGACATATTTATTACTTTGGGTGTAAGATGATTTGCGTTTATCTCGTGTCTGTAAACTTAACTCTAATTTTAACTATTTAAAGTCGTCGCAGCATTTCGAAAGAATTTTTTTTTATAAAACTCAAGATAAAGACAGCCTCCAACTTGTGTATCTTTCCGTTTCGTAATTGTCACATTAATTGATGCATTTGTCGGGAAAATAATTTGTTTAAATAATATTAAATCATCCACTGCGTATATTTGAAATGTGTCAGTGTTACGCATGCGCGCGCACTGTTACGCAATTGGTCAAATTTGATGGCGCAATGTGTTATGCCTTCTTATGTCAGTTTTTCTGTCAGTAATGTAGTGATGGTGTCGGTGTTAAATTTTTGCGTAAAGTAGGACCGTTTGGGCACCAGATTCGGGTTTTGTTTTAATTTTAAATCGCGCCTCTTATTTGCCCGAATCTCCGCATCCACTTCCATTTTTAATTTCCCTCATTTCCATGAAAACCTCTAACCATGTCCAGTAAACACAAGAAGACCAATGTCATTAATCGCACCACCAGCGAGACTCTCCGACTTGGAGAAGTGTTACCGCTGACGAGCTTGCCCCCCGTCTCGCGGAAGAAAATCCAGAATTCGTCCAGTTCGTTCCAGATCACGGCGGTGACCAGGACCGATGGGGACGACTCTGCTGATGATCTGGACACTGATGACATCTCCCGAGTGACCGACAACGAGACCCCCAGCTTCTCCGAAGACTCCAGAGACACGGACGACCATCAGCTTGAGCCGGGAAATGTCGTAGAACCAATGCAAGTTGATGTTAAGCCCAAACCGGATGAAAGATTCAAGATTGTTAAAATGCCGAGCACTTTGCCCCTCAGTAGGGGACGCTGGATCTGCGTCGATTACTTCGACGACGCCACCGAAAAGGGGCCCGAACACACCTCACGCTCTACATCACACCTACACGAAGGTATACATCTTATCAATGACCGGTGTTTTACTCATTTCCGGTTTCAATTGCAGCTTATTTTGCTACGAAACCTGCCGGAACTATGAAGGGTTTTCCTCAGGGCTTTCCTTCCCCTATTTTGGTCACCGGTGGGGGCGACCCTACCAGTTTTCCTGACCAGGAAATGTCTCAACCTAAGGCTGCCAATAATCAACCATCCAATGGGCAAAAGGTAAAAATCTTTTCCTCAAACCTGATTATCACTATCTTCAAGGATGTTACTCATACTTATTCATAAAGTAACGCGAAGAAATACTACACCAGATATCATCATTCATCAATACTCTGATAAAATTCCAGTCTCAGGCTATGTAATGGGTGTCAAAATTCGCTCACCAGAAAAAAATTTCAACTAAAATAAAATACCAGGAACATGGGAAAAATGCTTAAAAAATTCTGTCAAAACATTTTGACATTTGACATTTTTTATGTCTTATTTAATGATACCGATGATCTTGTCTATGTTTTTTTTTTAATTATTTAGTAAAGGTAAAAAAATTTTGACAATAAAAGCCACAAATAATACCGTGCGATCAAAAAAATAAATAAATTAGAGTAGGCGGTGATTAAAGTCCTTCAGATGGCAATCCTGATTTTTGACATCAAATGTCAGCGGAAACTTTGACAAGTTTGCGTTTGATTCCTTTTGAGTGAAAAAATGTTTACTTTAGATTCGCTCCCCAGAAAAAAAAATTCAACGAAAATAAAATACCAGGAACATGGGAAAAATGTTTAAAAAATTCTTTCAAAACATTTTGACATTTGACATTTTTTTGTCTTATTTAATGATCCCGATAACCTTGTATATGTTTTTTTAATTATTTAGAAAAGGTAAAAAAAATTGCCAATAAAATCCACAAATAATACCGTGCGATCAAAAATATTAATAAATTAGAGTAGGCGGTGATTAAAGTCCTTCAGATGGCTATCCTGATTTTTGACATCAAATGTCAGCGGAAACTTTGACAAGTTTGCGTTTGATTTCTTTTGAATGAAATAATGTTCACTTTAGATTCGCGCCCCAGAAAAAAAATTCAACGAAAATAAAATACCAGGAACATGGGAAAAATGTTTAAAAAATTCTGTCAAAACATTTTGACATTTGACATTTTTAATGTCTTATTTAATAATACCGATGACCTTGTGTATGTTTTTTAATTATTTAGAAAAGGTAAAAAAAATTGCGAATAAAAGCCACAAATAATACCGTGCGATCAAAAAAATAAATAAATTAGAGTAGACGGTGATTAAAGTCCTTCAGATGGCAATCCTGATTTTTTACATCAAATGTCAAACTTTGACAAGTTTGCGTTTGATTCCTTTTGAGTGAAATAATGTTCACTTTAATTATTTAGTAAAGGTAAAAAAAATTGCCAATAAAAGCCACAAAAAATAAATAAATTAGAGTAGGCGGTGATTAAAGTCCTTCAGATGGCAATGCTGATTTTGACAAGTTTGCGTTTGATTCCTTTTGAATGAAATAATGTTCACTTTAGATTCGCGCCCCTGAAAAAAAATTTAACTAAAATAAAATACCAGGAACATCGGAAAAATGTTTAAAAAATTCCGTCAAAACATTTTGACATTTGACATTTTTTGTCTTGTTTAATGATATCGATCTTGTATGTGTTTTTTTATTATTTAGTAAAGGTACAAAAATTTTGCCAATAAAGGCCACAAATAATACCGTGCGATCAAAAAAAAAAATAGAGTAGGCGGTTATTAAAGTCCTTCAGATGGTGATCCTGATTTTGTCGGCGGAAACTTTGACAAGTTTGCGTTTGATTACTTTTGAGTAAAATAATGTTCTCTTTAGAGGAGAAAATTTTTATTGCTGTACAAGACGAAAACGGTTTTCACTTTCAGTTTGTGTGGAAAATTTCCAGCCAATGTGTTGGTAACACTAGAATTTAATCAACGCCTACTCTAATTATGTTTTTTTTGATCGCACGGTATTAAACAGAGTTACAATTTAGGTTTACCGTGCGATCGAAAAAAAAAATTAATTAGAGTAGGCGACGATTAATATTCTACAGTTGGCAATAATTTTTGCTGGAAATTTTCCACACAAACTGGAAGTGAAAATGACCATAACTTGCAACAATAAAAATGTTGTGCTCTAAAGCTAACATTTCCCTCAAAATGAATAAACTTGTCAAAGTTTCCGCTGACATTTGAAGTCAATCAGGATTGCCATCTGAAGGATTTTAATCACGGCCTACTCTAAATAATTTTTTTTTTTGTTTCTCTTTCTAATAGCTTGTAACATAAAACTTGGAAAATAATTTTTCCAACAGAAATAAATAGTCATAGTGCAAAATTTAGACCCCCATAACTTTGAAATTTTTATAAATAGAATTTTTTTCATCTGAGGCGCGAGTTCTTGTGGAACTGGAACTTTTTGCTCGCTTTCTGACGCTTTTTTGTTTTTTTCAGGACGATATTCTTTCTGACATAAAAGTTGCCTTAACGTCTATGCCAGCTACCAACTCGGGGTATGTAAAAATTTTTTTTGCATGTGGTTGCGTGTTGATGATTTATTTCCCGATTGTTAGAAATCGAGGGTTATTTGCACGTTATTTAGAATAGTTACAAGGTCTTGGTTTATTTCAGGTTACAAATTGAGTCTGAGGGTGAGGCATAATGTGGTGGCGGCATTCTTTGTAATTTTGTTTTTTTTGATTTTCCAAAGAATTATTTTTAAGTTTTTGTTTTGTTTATCCGATTTGTGATTCACACGTGTGATAACCTTGTAACTTAAGTATTACTTAACAAGACCAAGCCAGGATAATGTTACTTGAGATTTTTTGATACTTATGCTCTCTGTAACCTGGCCGTGTCTGATTATTGTATTTTGATAGATTATAAATCGTTTTTGTATTTTTTTGAGTTTGAATAAAATTTTTACCGCTTGTTTTTGGTTTGGATGTACGGCAAAAACGCGCACGTTGTTAATAAATTGTGGTTAAGAAAGTTAAAACGCCGGCGTCGAAAGTAAATCGATAAGTAGACGCAGTACCGCAACATGCATTTTTCCGGTTAGTCTAATGACGGAACCTCACGAATTAGAGAGCCCTTTAAAGGGCTCTGATGAAGAACTCCCGCTAATTCTTCCAAATCACGATTTTAACGAAGCGACTGTTTTTGCCGTTTATTGTTTTATTAAAAAATTCGTCGGGTAAGTGGTGTTTAGGTGTTGTTGTTATTAATACGATTGTTGATTGGTTTGGTTGGGGTCTAAATTATTTTTCCTAATTTAGGTCAGCTCCCAATAACAACAACATTGATAGGAAGATCGAAGAAGCTTTGGTGAGTAAATTTAAGTGTGTAAAATGGGAAAAATGCTGATTTTTGTTGTTCAAAGGATGCTGTGAAGACACATTTGATGCTGGCGGTCCACAAAGAAGTGGATTTTTTGAAGACTCGGGTTAGTACATTGGAGGGGCGCGTCAATGAGCTGGAAATTGAAAATTCGATTTTAAGAGTTAACTATTTATTGTTTAAGTCTTAAAAGGAGGTATTTTGCGTTTGCATGATCTCATTTTCGATTGTTATTCCTGTTTAAAGGATACATTGTACTGTTAATTTGTACCTTGACAATACTTGGATTTCATATTAGATGAATCATCGATGTTCAGTGCGATCGTTTGATGTTTTTAGGAGTGATCGCATTGAAATGTTTCCGAATTTTGATCGTACTTTTGTATTTTTTTATCCATCTTCCTGGCATCGGCTAGGAGTTCACTGCTTGAGACAAATCAACATTTCCTTGCACATCATTATTTACCGTTCATGCTATGCCAGTAAGATGGACTCAACTTCTGTCCAAAAATGAAACAAGGAATGAATTTAAAAGGGGTGATATGGAATGTGATGTTATGTTAGATTTTTTTATGTAATGTAGATGGGTATGTGACAATACCGATGGACTGGTGTTGGTGTAACTGTGCATGAAATGGTTTCTAACTTGATAAAAGGGGTGTGCATATATAAAGCTTTATGGTAGAGTATACCAATAATGGCTGTGCTAGGAATTTAGAATACTCTCAAGAGTAAGTCATACCTACTTTATTTCGGAAATTTTCTATTTTAACAGTATTACAACCCAAAAACCAATTTGTGTATCCACTGTGAAAGCACCATTTAGGCGCTAATGGCTCTTTCACGACAAATCAGCCCTAACAAAGACACCTCTCATTTGACATATTAGTGAGATTTTTTGTTAATTTTTCATATTGATTTTATTTTATTCGTTACGTACGTTAATGCAGATGCTCGGTCATCTTTTGTGCCATATTCTTTCATCAGCAATCGAAACGAATGACCATTTTTTTATTTGTGTTCTCTTTAATAAAAACTACAAAATGTACCTACTGTCTTTCTTTACCCCCGCCCCTGAATAAAACGCAAGACTTACTAGAAAGCTGTTTATTTTAAAAAGGCAAAGACATAATTTAATGTTAAATAAAACTCAGTTATTGAATAAAACACTCGTTTCTATAAAATCGCTGATATAAATCCACAACCGATACTTAAATATTGCTTTTATGACAATAGCAGTAGATAAGGGAAGTACGAATTTACAAATTTATGTATAAAATTGCTTAAAAGTGAAAAATTAATTATAATCTAAGTTGATAAAGTAATTTAGCCTTTGTTTTCCACAATTATTGTAGAGAGGCCTTTTCCTGGGACAACTGTAGTCTTGTATTGTTCAGGAATGGGATGTTCAGTCTGAAAAAAAAAACATTTAAAAAAATGAAACAAAAACAGAAATAATTACATAATCGCCGTTTCCTTTCGGGACAAGAACATTCATTTCTGACGACTTAGAACTGACGATTTCGACATCTAACGACTCAGGACTCAAGTACATTTGGCACCCATCTGTTTTATCTATTGATATTGTTGGAACCTTCCCAAGTACCTAGAAACTCACATTGAGTCACTCCCATTTTTGCCCCCCAAAAAACAAACCTGCATTTGGACTGATTGACAGTTGATAAATTCCATCGCTGAGACAAGACTATCAAAAACAATGGAAGTTTTCTTACAGGAATCTAACGTGATCGAATTCAATTTCCCCTTAACAACCACTGTTGAATCTGTACATTTAAACAAATAAACAACGTTGTTCATCTCCACGTTGTCCACAACCAGATTATGGTTGCCTTTCTGGTACTCAATCAACCATTTCTTGCCTTCTTTCACAAAACTCGGCGGTTTGTCCACAATCGGGGCCGGCGCCCCTGGGGCCCTCGCCGGAGTCTTAAACGGCGCCGGTCCTTCTCGCAAAGTCGGGTTCTTGTGGGTCTGCATATCGGACGTGACCTTTTTCAAACCTGCAAAAAATCGTAGAAAAAACCCCAAATACACATTGCGTACTTTTGGTGATATTTTCCCCTTGGTTGATTTGAGCAAAAAGCGCCGAGCGATCAGCATCGCCCCCTGCGGCTTCAGCAGCGGCGAAATCCAACACCGGCGGCGGTGGGGGACACCCCGGGGGTGGCGGCGGCGGCGCTGCTGACCCTTTCCCGGCCCAGACCAACCCAGTCGTGTGGTGTTGCTTGACGAAGCCTTGGAGATCCATCAAGGTTTGAATCCAGGCTTTGACCCAATCGACGTGTCTCTTGTCTTTTTCCTTCCAGTCCTTGAGGACTCGGTTTGTGTAGAATTGGCCGGCGTCGTTCATTTCCTTGACGTAAGGGGCCGGCGCGGGGCTCACTGTCACCCATCCGAGGGCCGGTATGCTCTCACTGATGGCTGATAAATGGTTGAAAAATTGCGAAGTGCGGTGCTTCTCGCGGAAGTCTTGTATTGCACTGATTTGATCACTGGTTGGCTTGAGGAGACCGATGATTTCGTTCTGATTCGGCTGTTTGCTTTGACTAGCAAGAACTAAGTATTGCAATTGCATTTGAAAGGCATTGTGGACGAGTTGGCTGTGTTGGCCGACATCGCCACCGATTTGTTGCGAGATCTGGAGGTATTGTGTTAGTGGTCCCTGAATAATATCGCTGAAGCCTTGCACACTCATGTTTGGTTCTTCTGGTGTTGGGATTTGTTTAAGATTACTGGAAACCAACCGTTTCCGGTCAAAACCCCCCACTTCCGGCAACAACAATACTCACAGCAATTGTTCTATCGGAAGGCTGATTTTTTCTAGACGAGTTGTCACAGTTTCCAATCTTACGATGAGGTCTTCCAAGTCAGTTCGGAGGCAATTCTCGTCGGATCCTAGAATTTCAGTTGATGATTCATTTGTTTTACCAGCAACTTATCTCGTTGATAAGCAATCGACTCTTGAAATTAATTAAAACACCTTGAAATTACAACGAGATAATTGCTACTTAATTATACAACACGCTTAAAATGTTTTCGGAACTTGAATAAATTTTCCGTAAAGTACTCACAATCAAAAATACGTTGTTTCTATTCCGTACATTATGCAAAACTGAAATATTTCGGAAAGATGAGCAAACGTGTATTTTTGGAATGCGTTGGCAAATGTTTTCGACTCCACATAGCGAGGTTTAGATTTCCAATCAAAAATAATTTCACACAAATCGTTATCAAAATATTTAGGTTTCGCATTCAAGCAATCCATTTAAAAATAAAACAAAAAACGCGCAATGTATTCCCTTTTTCATTTTTGACAAGTTGAATTAATAGTTATTTAATAAACTAGTTTATTAATGAAGGTGATTAATAATCGACACTGTTTAAAGCGAGTGACTTTTATTCTGGTGACAAAATCTAAAATTAAAACCAAATCAAAACTCATTCCATGTACAAAGTCAGTGTTTTTTTGTTTTTGTGCGAACAGGGTTATTCATAAATATGAATCAATATTTGAACCTCAAAAATGACCTATAAAATGATGTTTTTTGGTCAAAACTATTTCGAATAAAAAACGCATAACCTTTAATACCTCTAAAATGGACTGTTTTAAAGATATTTATCCACAATCACTCTAAAAAGAAACTTTATTTCACACTTTAAATGCGTATAAAATACCACTTTATCCACTAGTGGGATAAAGTTACTTTATTCCACTGTTAATAACCAGCGCACCGCGTAACAGCTTACTACATTTAAACGAAAGCACATTTGGCGTATCGTTTAAATGTCAGTTTAATTTTTAATTAAGTTTGGAATAATTTCGGCCTGTGATTGTGGATAAAACGTTATATTGCAGTCGTGTGTTAGTCGCGTTTTATCCACTTAAGAAAATTAACCGCTCGAACTAACGTTCTCGCGGTTAAACATTCTTGCGTGGATAAAACGCTATCTAACACACTCTTACAATAAATAACTTATATATATCTGGATACTCGTACAGTTGCGGAATTAAAATTTCGGACAGTATTTTTCTGTCACTTTAAAAAGTTCACTGTAAACAACCCTTTTCTGTCATCATGACTGACATCTGACAATTAAACTTTTTTTGTTGTTAAATTTATTAATTAAACAATTTATTAATTGAACTAAGTGTAATTAAATCATCGCTTTGATTTGCTACCTACCCGTTATTGTGCCACAAATCACTATTTTTGAAAGTAAATAAGTCAAAATGACATAAACATGACAAGAGTAAAAAATGAGGTTTAATGGGAAGGTTGTTTTAGAGTTTACATTATGAAAATGACAATACTACCCAAAATTTTAATTCCGCAACTGTACAAAAAAACAATTACGTAATAAAAAAAATTTGGTATTAATGACAAAACCAAAAATACCAAAAAATATAGTTTTTCTATTTCGGTATTACAATGTGCAAGTGAAAACAGTTGCAGTTGGATACCGCATACGTCAAATGTCAAAAATTTTAACTCTTTTATTCTGGTGACAAAATCTAAAATTAATATCAAAACTAATTCTATGCATAAAGTCAGTGTTTGTTTTTGTGCGTACAGGGTTATTCATAAATATGATTCAATATTTGAACCTCAAAAATGACCTATAAAATGATGTTAATGTAAATATTAACTCGTGTTAATAAATATAAAAATATGAATAATAAATTTAATTTAAAAAGCGGCTCAGTGGCACTGCGTGGCACGTATCACAATGAGAGTGTTTGTAAACTTGTTTTTTAATATACCGTGCCATCAAAAAAAAAATAGAGTAGGCGGTGATTAAAGTCCTTCAGATGGCAATCCTGATTTTTGACAGCGGAATCTTTGACAAGTTTCACTTTAGAGCAGAAAATTTTTATTGTTGCAAGTTATTACAAAAATGATGTACAAGACGAAAACTGTGAATGGTCATTTTCACTTTCAGTTTGTGTGGAAAATTTGCAGCCCAGATTACCAGCCAATGTGTTGCCAACTGTAGAATTTAATCGACACCTACTCTAATTTATTTTATTTTTTTGATCGCACGGTAGTATTTCCTATTTCAGTCTCACAATGAGCATTTTTGGCGACATTTTATGCAATACTTCGGCCACCCTGGCAATAGACTTTCGTTTTTAAGTAAGAAATTGTTACAGTTCAACGTATTTCTCCAAACTAATGCAATTTAAGCTATTTATGAGCAACTTGGGTACCGTATACGTCAAATGTCAAAAATTTAAACTGTCAAATATAATAATAAATTCAATTTAAAAAGCGCTCAATAGAAAAAATAGTATAAAAAACGCGTGTTACAACACAATGAGAATGTTTTTAACACTTGTTTTGTAATATACTATATGTGACGTCAAAACTAGAGCACAAACCCGAGAGTGACTTTATTTTGTTGTGACAGCAATGTTATAAAGTTCCCTTCACTGTTTCTAGTGAATCAAGTAGAATAATTGACAATTAATTCGCTTGGATGAAGGGTTTATCATCGACACTCGCGGAAGTAGCGAGTGAATAAGTTGGAATTAATGTTCTGGATTTATGAATGAAGTTGGATATGAATAAAATCATCTCTCATGTAGTTGACAGTTGTGAGATGTATGATTTTGTATGATTGATGTCTCACCTCCGGCAACAACGGGCCCAAAAGGGTCGAATTTGACCTTATGTTCGGCCGCATGTTGTGTGAGATCTATAATTTCTGAGAAGAGTCTATGCCGTCTAAGGGCAAGCTCGTCCTTGCCTACGGGAGTCGCAGGAGGCGTCGCCGGCGCTTCAGAATCAACAGTTTCACCCTCTGACGACTCCCTAAACCATCTAGGGAGCGGCGTGTGCCCTTTGCACGTCCCTAAATTCTCGGCCAGTTTGGCCGTCGGCCCTACACCCTCACAAAACACCTCATCATCGTTATCCGAACCGTTCGAATTTCGTTTTATTTCATTGCTTATCACATTATCGAGAATCGGGAGTTCGTTCGCGGCTTTGGTCGCTTTATCACTTTTATCAACATCGGTTGGCATTGGATCGTTGCTCGATTTACTCCTACACCAGCAACACTTTGAGAACATTGGTGGAAGATTTGTTGTTACATCGCGATTGTGCGTTATCACTCATACTGTACCGTTTGCATCACACGCGAGATCAACATCCTGATCCTGGAGGGGATCTGGAGGAAACAGGGGTTACTCCTTTCTAGGACACCACAGTTCCTGCGCCTTACAAACCGCGCCCTGACCGACCAACGAAAACCAATGCCACACTTTTACATCAAAATACACAATTTTCAAAATCGATCCAACACAACATGCACCCCTAACACACACGGCAAAGGGGAATTTTTATCCAACCTCGCACATACCAAAACTAAAATAATTCCACTAATCAATTCCGCATAACACTAACAAACAACAGATGGCATTACTAAACCGCTCGTTTACCCACATTTTAATTATTATAGCGGACCGTAAATTCCCTTTACCACTTTAATTCCAAACCAGTGAACAAATATAAAGAATATGCAAAACAAAGCATGATTGACCGGTAGTGGACCGCAAATACAATTCAATCAAAAAACAATGTTTGCCAATTTCTGCGCATGCGGCCCACAACACAAATTTACTTTAGAAAATAGAACTATAAGGAATTTCATTAGTGTTGTTTGCACTGTTGCAAATCTAGGCAATTGTCCGGTGTATAATCCCTCGAGACTATAGGTTTAATCGTTCAAATATTAATTTTGTCGAAATTAACGGAAAATTAGTTCCCTGAAGACTTTACTCAAGCAGAAATCTCAATGAATCCATCGCCGCGGATAACAATTGGTAACGTCGCAAATTTCATTCGGAAAAAATTGCCAATCTGTCACTTTTTCTGTATAAAGAAGTAGAATTTTTGAAAGATTCTTTTTTTTAATATTTGTGCTTTGTGACCTGTTTCACCTCAAAAAAACGCTGATGCGACATCGTGCCATTTCAATTGCCACTCAATGGTTTTTCTGTATGAAATAGTGGAGTATTTTGGCTCTAAATTTGTCGGTAAATCAGATGTTTGTGACCTATTTCACTTCAAAAAAACACAGTTCCGACGTTGCCAGTGTGGCAATTGAAATGGAGGTGTTTATCGTGCCACTTCAATCGCCATTCTCTCACTTTTTTGTTTTTTTCTGTATGAAACTGGAGTTTTTTGGCTCAAAATTTGTCAAATTGAAGCCAGGGTGGCAACAGAATAACAGAAAAGTCCCGAGGTATAAATTTTTTCAACGCCCACTGAATTTTGGCACCCGATTATGTAAAATTGCACTGTTCTAAACCGTGTCATAATTATCAGTTTTAAATCACTGATTTAATCCCGAGTTTTAGTGGTAATTTGCAATCAATGCGATTTGATGACGTCTGATTAAATCTGAAAGTGCTCAATACTGTTCTAATTTATCTAAAAAAGGTAATGCGCGAATTTATGTTTTTCTCGTGCAGTAAATCTCTCCAGGAGTCATTGAAATAAAAAATTTAACAAAAACAGTGTCAGGGCCTGAATTTCGGATGAATCAGTGTTTACGTGATGTCACTATGAATCAGGCTTTAGCGAAACAGTTGAACATCTTGACATTTAACCACAATTGTTTGCGAAAATGTGAAAAGTTCCAAAAGTTCAAGTAATTTCAAGCACGAATGAACATTGTCGCATATAACTTCTCCCATTTCCATGATTCGCTGATAATTAAATCGGGAAAACAACAAAAGCCGGCTTATTTAATATCCAAAACAAAAGAACAGCAAGGGTGGAAAACAGTTGGTAATATTAGAGAGACTTACCTTTAATCACTTCTGGGGGTTTATTAGGAGAAAAATAACAAACTGATTGAAATGTTTTCTTAACCAAAACTTTGCAGCTGACAAACTCTGGGCGGCTGCCACTGATATCACCTCACGACCATTCAGTAACCTCTCCGATTGTCCATAAAACGTACACATTGAAACTACCTATCTTTTTTCCGCTTTAGCCGAGACGATGCTCTATCCTTGTCGACGAACCCAAAAAAACTGCGATGAGTCATCGTGAGTTGCTTTGTTGCCGCATGGTGGCGCCACACACCAAGCAACATATTCAAGCCGCGAAAACTTGAGGTACAGATTTGTCAACAAGAAATTACCACCTAGGATTTGAATTTTTAGGAAAATTACGTTTTTCATGTTGTTTATAACTAGAATTTGCAGAAGTAATTTTGAATGATTAGGGTTGGTTACCATTTGTAGTTGACGGTTGACGTTTTCTGTCAACCTGCTGTCAACTATCAATTGAATTAACCATACAAGCTGACACGAGACTTAACCTAAATTTTGACAGTGGTTACGATATCTTTTGTTTGTTACTAAAAACTAACCTACTCAAATTTATGGCAACCTATTCACGAATATCCCTAAATCCTAGGGAGTAATTTCTTATTGATACGATAATATGAATGAAAAACGTTCACTTTTTGTATACTTTATTACAAAATAATGTGTCGGTCTATAAAATAAGTTCGTCTATAAAATTTGGAAAGTACAAACATGTGCTATGTAAAATGGCACAACTACCGTAGCAAGAAAATAATACAACTCACAGCCAAGATACGTGACAGGTGGGTAACATATATGTGGATATTAAATTTGTACTATGAAGCATTATATCTTAACTGTGCTATTTCATTTTTAAGTAGATTAGGATAATTCTCCAATTGGAGCGTTTTCTAGCCACAAGTCGTGAAGAAACGTGTATAACGCATCACTGACTGCAACCTGAAACATACAATGTAGCGTGTTGCAACCTAACCAAGCAACAAACCTTGAAAGGTGTAGGATTTAGGTTTCGTTTAATGTCGGGTCTTAACGTCCGCAACGATGACTGTACTCTCTCTTTGATTTGTTGCAGATTTGGTAAAGACTGACAAATACCACCGTTTTTCCAATAAAGGGTTAAAAGTTTTTCGACTCGTGAGGGTATGACGTATGCCCTTTTGGACTCGATGAATGGATGACGGCACAAGACTTTTTCGTTGATAGCAGGTGGAGGCTCCATTGATCTTTGAAGGAGATCAACAAGAGCGTGACCACTTTCGCTGTATAACCGATAGGCGTCTTTACGGCCCGGCATTGTCACTTTTCCGACATCTTGACTAAGTTTGATTCTAGGTTGGCCATTAAGCTCAACTAGCTTGTAGACACAACCTAGAGCAGGCTGTCTTTGACATGTCACTAGATGTGTGCCAATCCCGAAACAGTTGATTTTGTGCCCTTGCTCATTCAGACTTAGGATTGTCTCCTCATTGATATCGTTAGAAGCCATTATCATTAAATCTTCAAACCAAGGAACGTCAAACTTTTCACTAATCTCGGCGAAGAATTGACGAGCAACATTGGAGAGATAAGCCAAATCGCCACTATCTAACCGGATACCAATAGCGCGATATCCCAAATCGTTTAGCGCTAACGCTACTGAGCAAAAATTGAGTAGACCACTCCTGGAAGAAGGGAAACAACGTCATTGTGGGAAAAGTAGTATTCTACCCGACCAAGGGTGGATCCAGGGGACTTGCCACCAAAAGCTTCAATTTTTTATATTTAAATTTTAATATAAAAACCTCTTTTTAAATCACACTTATTAATACAAATCATACATATACCGAGAGATCAAAATAATTTGTAATCATTTTTGGATCCGAAAACGTACAGTTCGGAATTAAAATTTCGGACAGCTCTGTCATTTTCATAATGTAAATTCTAAAACAACCTTTATATTAATAACCTCATTTTTTACTCTTGTCATATTTATGTCATTTTGACTTATTTACTTTCAAAAATAGTGATTTGTGGCATAACAACAGGTAGGCAGCAGATCTTAATAAATTTCCTAAAACAGACAAATTGTTTAATTAACAAATTTAACAACAAATAAAAATAAATTTAATTGTTTGTCAAATGTCAGTCATGATGACAGTAAAAGGTAGTTTTTGAACTAACTGCACGTGAAACGTCAAATAAAATGACAAGTCGAAAACGACAAAATGGGCTGGAATGGCCGACGTATAATCAATAAGACCGTTCTTTTTTGAAGGTAAATCATAAATTTAGTTATCTTTTTGATCATGGAATTCTACCTTTTCACTTGTCATTTTATTTGGCGTTTCACAGACATACGCACAGAACATACGTTTTCGAATACAAGGACAAATTATCTTGATCTCTCGATTCTTCCTTAGTTTTTATTAATTTAAAAAGAAATCATCAATTGTAATTTTCTTTGGACCACATCTTTGAATAATGAACTTTACCAACTCGCTAGAACACCTTATAGGTACACAATTTTCAACTTGTTTTAAAATTCTACACTTTTTGGTTTTTGGGTAATGACGGCAGCGACATTTTTTTTAATGGAAGCTCCCATTTTTTTAGCGAATTCGATGGATAATTGTCGAAATGGCAACACCAAAATATTATGTATTACATAGTTTTAAAAAAAAATATCCAAAACGTGAAATAATATCAATAAAAAAACAAGGATACAATTTTAAATCAAGTTAAAAATTTTGTATTTTTCAAAAAGAAAATTGGCCTGTTCGAGCATTTTTCCAAAACAAAATATTTTCAGTTTTAATAAATAAGATTATTCTATAATTTTTCCGCTCACTGTATACCCTCATCATTTAAAAAAAATTTAGATAAAAAAAAAATTAATTCCTGGATCCGCCCCTGTACCCGACATGCATTTAACTGAACTGACTAATGGTGTTAAAGAAGCAAGTGCACTTTTAGTGCGAGTGAGTACATACCCCGCATACCCAGCACAGGTTTCATACTTTTGCTGGTTTGATTAAGGCCCCTTGCAACACATTCAACTGTCACACATGCGACAAATTAAATCCCTGTTAATAAAAAGCATTATTGTTGACGAGTCGATGTTTGTTGCCCGGAGCGGCTGGTGGCATGCACCCAAAATCGGCCCAAGTGGTTACCTGTACTCGTTATGCGATTGGGTGGTGGTATTCGTGTGAGAGGGATACCTCTTAACGTCATACGTGTCAACTAAGGCCATAAATCCGTCAGGAAAGGCAATAGCGAAGGAAATAAGCGCGGCTAATTCGCCGTCGCTGGCTTCCGAAGCCACAACCTTGAAAATGGGGACCAAGTTGGTCCTCCAAGTGAGGGCCAACTGGAGGAGATCCCGGGGTTCACCACCGTCTTTCGACTCCAACATGGTGTTCCTCAAGTCGGTGAAGCCGTTAAAGGAGGTGATGTAGGCATGGGCATGGGTGCCTTTCACCGGGATGTTGAATAGTTTCCCGGCTAACACGTTGCTGGTACCGTCGAACCCCCCTGAAACAAATTAATTCGACACAATTCGTGTGTATCGCACATTAAATGGTGCCAGGCAATTCAGATGGCACGCTTGCCAGATATCCTGTTAAAGTTGACGGTTATCTGCAATTCGGTATTGATTTTGGCTATCTTACTTCACACCGCCTGGTACCAACTTAATAAATCGTACCTATGTAGGAGTATTTTGACGCGGAGAGACCACCATCGGGCCCCTGCGCCCTCCGAAGACCAAACTCAAACAACTTCATATTTCCTGCTGCCATTCGGTACCTAGCCGCATTTGTCGCCATCAAACTAAAAAAATCGATTGTGAAATTGATCAAGGGAAATATAGATTACCTTGCATAATTAACTAAAGTCAGTAGTGTCGTTTCAAGCAATTGCACGATTATTAAAGGACCTTCAACTCGCATAAGTGGCACTCTGCAATCCCCACATTTAAACTCGTCTACTACCGTGCGATCAAAAAAATAAATTAGAGTAGGCGACGATTAATACTTTTTCATAATTTGCGTTTATAATACGTTTATTAACGTCTCCAGTAGGAGTCGTTTTTGGCTAACTATAAAACCACACTGTGCTTTAATGAATTTAGGGTTATTTAGTTTTTGGATGCCGCTTTTGACTTGTCAGGTAACAAATTTTGCGTTGTTGCTTCAGCAATTTCGGGCGGAGTGCAAACTAAATTCTGTTTCTCATATTTTATGTATTATTATTATGTTGTAATACTAATAACTAATAATGTGTAAATTTTATTTTTAATGACAGACGGCAGAAATGACTCAAAAAAACAGGTGGGCGCCGACTGTTACCAACCGATACCAACTAACACAAAATTC